TCCATTTACCCCAAAAACCGATCGCAACAGTGACTGAACAAAAACGATCGCAACTTGGCTATCCAGGTAGCCATTTAGGACGAAAAGAAGTGGCCGTTCCGAGCCCCAGTGGGGCGATTTGTTTGGCTTCTCTTCTTGGGTGCTTTCGCCAAGGTTAACCTCTGGAGAATCATAAGTGGGTTGTAGGGATGGCGTCTTGAAGAACTACACCCCTGCTAACTGGGGCTCATGAGGGTTACAACTCCATGAGCCAACTGAGGCGGCCAAGCAACCCTTAGAGGTGAGGTTGCAAAGAAAAGGGCTGTAAAAGGACTCAGATTCCGCTCAACTGGGCCCACCCGCACCCCCACCCCCACCCCCACCCCACCCACCCTACCCACCCCACCCACGCCACCCACCCCACCCACCCCACCCACCCCACCCACATCGGGTTTCCTCCATAGATTGGTTTCAGTTGTGTGGGATTGCAAGGCCCACCCAGCGCTCTGCTCAAGCCCAGAACGAGCGTAAACCCGTTCAAAAACTAGGCATGCTTTATGTTGCAGTGATTCAATGTGACTAGTGTTGAAATAATGTGTATATGTTGAATGGACATGTAATATAATAGAATGTAGTATGAATGTGTTGTACATATTATATAGTTGGGATGTACTTCTAATAGGTTGAATCTGAAATATAACTTGTCATTTCAAAAGTGGCTCAATTGCCTTGTGCACTATGTGGTGAAATATAATAGTTGTGTTGTAAAATAAGATTAATTGTTGCTATCAGTGCTGCAGGCAAAACCACAAATACCTGTTGAAGTATCACTTTAAAACACCCAGGAATTTCGGGTCACCCTTAGGGACCTGGAACTAAAAGGCTAACCTTTTTGGGGCCTGGACCCAAAATATGAGACCAAAACCAGGGAAACGTTGGGTCAAAGTGTCCACTTCACAGACTTTAACGCCATACCCCGAAACAGGGCCCCCTCCAACCAAAAAGAGACGAGCCACCCATACCGTAGATGGACGAAATTCACTTCGCACAACCTAAGAAGCGGTGGAATGAGTCGATTCCTCTGTAAATACCAACAATGAAACGGTGTCCGATGGTTTCCAAGTGGTGCGAAGCGGATTTCGCACCCAGCCACAGTACTTCAACTCACACCCGCGCCAGGATGAAGTTTCCCCTTTTCACGAAACCCCAAACAGGATAATTACCCAACAAAAATGCTCATCAGTGCTACTGGAAAGGTCACACGCCTCTAGGATGCCGCAGCAGCTTTGGAGGAACATCTTAGCCTCAGCGATCCTAGACCCCCAGACCTCCAAACCCTTGGGCTGTCAGGATCTCATCCGTCCGTATGGGGCTGCTACGCTTTTTTTTTTACCACCTGGTTCCTCTGTCGGGTCTACTGTGCTCGACTCGCGAAAAGCAAGTTGCGTCCTTATGGCCACGAAAAAAATCGATCAACCTGGTACTAAGTCTGGTCTACTGTGCTCGACTCGCGAAAAGCCACTGTTGGAACTGTAACCTAGGTTAAAACCTGGTTTGTTCGCCCCGGTCAGTGGAGAGAACTGGTTCCTTTACACCAACTACAAAAAAGGTACCTTCCATCGGTCGAAATGGAGACATGTGTGGTATGCTCCTTTGTTGGTTTCACAGAGAATCAACTTCTATCACCACGGGCCCGGTTGATCACCAATTCTTCTGGGTTGGCTCCCCCAAGCAACCAGATTCGATTTGATAAGAATTGTGTTTGACGGGAAAAGGTTGTTAGGTGAAAGAATTGGTCGTTCCGAGGCCCAGGTGGTTTGGTGCTTTAGGGTAGTCTACAAGAACCAGGGATCCAAATCTCAATCCAATCCACCAATCCAAACCACCAGCTGATTAAGGGGTACCTGCCTAATCAATGGAGTTCTTCGGGGGTGTCTTGAACAAGATCTCCATCACGGCAGGGGTCCGTAAACATGCCCAGAGCATTCCAAAATTTCAGAAAAATCCGGATGCCCCCTTTCAAGAATGGGGTAACACAAGAAAACCCCGGGCAAATCTCGAACATATCCCCTATCATGGGGGCTGGGGGCGGGCGGGGGGGGGAGCCCAAATAAGCCCTAAATAAGGCCTTATTAAGCACTGAATAAGGGCTTATTTGGGCTCCTCCCCCTCCCTCTCCCTCCCCCCCAGCCCCCATGACCCTATGTTTGAACATCATTTCGATCTGCATGTGTCCCATCGATCCATTTTGCCCCAATGACCACCCCGAGAAACTCCAGGCTTGCATGGCAAAACAACGAACCACGAAAATCTGGGAGCCTCCCCCCTACTCCAAACACCCTCCTTTTTTAAGGGTATGATGTTGACCCTCTACTAAAAAAGGAGGTATTTAGCATGGAAACCCAGGTTTTTTCAAAAAAAATACCATTAAAAAAAGGGGTATTTAGAGTAGGGGGTACTTGCTCCAAGTCGGGCCCTCGTTGACTCCCTGCCTGACCGTCCTGAAGGTAAGGACTCTGCTGATACTTTTTGCGTATCTCAAAATTGGAAGCCACATTTTGGGCAACTCGCCCACAAAAGCCGAAAGACAGAAAGAAAGCCCGCTAATTTTGAGACATGCCCGCTTGGGCATCTTGTGAAGCCTCGGCGGTTCCATTTGAAAGTCTCAAAGAACAGGGCAGTGATGTGACCAAGTTCCCGAGCACCCTTGTCCCCCACTTACAATATTTAGGGCATCCACCGTACAAGGCCGCTTGGTAACTTACTTGGCACCTCATTTGGCCCGTCCGAAACTTTGTCTCACCCGAACCCTCCTAACGGATGGGTCGCTGGATATGTGCCTTCAAAGCTTCAGTCTTCTGGGTAGGCTCGCCTGAAATGAGGAATCCGCAAGCTTCACGGGTAGGTTCCCCTGTCGCAAGGTCTCCCTTAAACATCACCCTACTTGCCAGCTAACTCCCAAACTGGAAATCGAAAGGGCACCGCTTTTGAGGGCACCCCTTTGTGGTTGCAAAGGGAAATCAAAAAGGAACACCGCCATTTCCGTGGTCCCGGATGAAAAAAAATAGGAAGGACACGCCCAAAGAAAGGAAATCCCCTGCAGTGGGATGGAACATCCGCTTCGCACCTGGTGGTCAGTTGAAACCATGCCGAGTCGATGCCAGATTTTAGGCATCCAAAGGCCCGTCATCCTGAAATCACGTGACGTGCCTCTCAAAATGGGTTGGGGGGTGTTCAGGGGAAACCAAAAGTAAACCTATCCAAAGGCCCATCATCCTGGAATTTCAGGGAAAACCAAAAGTAAACTCACCACCGGAGGGGTGCTTAACTTTGGGAACCCCCCACGCTTTTATCTCCCCTTTCTCGTGAACGCATTTGCCCCCCAGCCACCGCTCCCCTGAGCACGGAAAAAGAAAAACATCGGCGCCCGGCCCGCGCATGGGCGCGTCGAGCGTCGAAATGGCTCAGCGCAGGCGAAGTTTTCCGACTGCTCAATTGGACAAGAGTGAATTGCTCGAGTCGAGCGTTCGTCATTCTCCCCACAACTATCTGATGCTTCCCGCCCTAGTCATCGTTGTTTGAAACGGCTTGACTGTAAGTGTTGGGATGTCAGACTGCAGTTTGCAGTCTTGAAGCATTGGGAGCTTTGTCTCTCAACCAATTGGCAAACAACTTGGATGGTTCCTGTTTCAGATGCCTCAAATGCTACCCTTTGCTAGATATCATGCATTTGTTTTTGTCCACCCGCTGGTAAGAGTGCTTCGGGTGATCGGTTTTCTCTCGGGGGAAAAAAAAACTGGGTCATTTGGGTTTCACTGGCTCTTAGAACCATGGTTTTGCGCGACAGAAACATACCCTTAAAGCAAGGGGACTCCCCAAGCCAGGACACGCATTCACCGACCAGGGGCTTATTCACCATGCCTGGTGTTCAAGGGAGTTCACCCACCAAAATTCTGGTGTTTGTATGTTTTCAGGGTCCTAACGGTACCCGTTTTTGCCTTCAACTAGCTGATTGGCAGCTTAGCGAACACGATCCATGTCTCGCAAGCGACACCTTTGCGCCCCTGGAGCCATACCGGAAAGGGCGGGCGCGGATGCCAGATGACGCGCTTTTTGCAGGCGCGCCTTTTGGTGGCCCACTCTCATTCTGGCAACAGTCCCACCTCAAAATGACTTTCATCGGTCTGTCTTTGCTTCGTCCATTTCCTTTTGGGGCTAGTGTCAAGGGAACCCAGGGGAAAAACGCAATTCTTGGGCACTCGAGCAACCAAGAGGTTGCACCTCTTGCTTCGGAATTTTATGGACGTAACAAGTGCTTCGTCTTCCAAAAACATACTTGGCAACATATGCCGGCAAAATGCTATCATCAAGCAAAGTTCCAACAACAGGTCCCGAACCTTGACACAAACATCCAGTGACATCTGGGAAACTGTCACAAAACGAGGCGGGACTTCCCCCCCCCCCTCCCAAGAAAAAAAAGAAGAGCAAAAACGGGCGGCTTCCCTTTTGCTTCCTCCTAAACGTTAAACCTCCAAATGGGTACCCAACCCAAATTTTGCAGATGTCGGGCCCCGCCACAAGTGAAGGTTGACCCCCTTTTTTTGGAACACCCATTTTTCAGCGCGGCCAAAACCCCATTGACGCTGGGTTCTAAAATGGTCATAAAAGCTTATAGACTATAACCCTTAAGCCAGGCAGTAGAACCACCTTCTTAAACTGCCCGACTGGGAATCGGTTTTAAGCGCTGCTAGAGATGGGGTTTGTTGCCAGCAGTTATCAGCACATCTCCATGCCTTCATGTGGGTATGGGTCAAAATTAAACCAACAGGGGACCGCAGGTTTAGTCCATGTTTCCATTTGCCAGATTTCCATTTCGGGTACCTATGTTTGACCCACATGGATGTGGGTTTGAGGGTTTGCAGACTTTTCCCCTGCCCACTCTTCAAGAGCAAAAACCAAAAGCGTCGCCCCATCCAGGCACTTCCCGGCCAACAAAAAACCTGCACGAATCAGCCAAAGGCCTCCACATAGAGAGTGAAGACCTCGGGGCTTTGAGTCACGCAGTTCCCCAGGCGGTTTGTGAGCTTCCATTTGCGAATACGCCGGGGAAAAAATGAGAAAACATGTCCAGTGATAGATTCCGAGTTTCAAACCAACAAGGGAAAAAAATAAGGAAAAAAAATAGAAATAAAAAACTTAAGCAAATGGAAGTTAGGGTTAAAAACTCCCACCTGCCTATGGGTAAAAGACCCTGTTGATCAATCACCTGAGAGAGCTCCGATGTGGAACTTGGCCAGATTTCGGTCGCCTGCAACCAGTTGGTTGCTTTAAACGGGAAACTTCCACTTGGGTGTCGCTTTATTACAGAATTGCGGTTTCCTCCCAGAAACATGGCTGATGAACCAACTGCCTTCACCTGACGTGTGCAAACCAAACTGTCCAACTTGTGAACTGCTATTTGGGTGTCCTTGTTTTCAGGGGACCCCAAAAATGGTGGCGTCCTCTTGTTTTCCATTTAAAACCACCAAGGGGTACCCTCAAACAGACCCACTTCGTGGACTTAGCCAGGGTTGGGTCCAGGTTGGGCTGATGGCCGGGTGCAAATTGTCCAGGCGATGCTTACCCAAAGGAAACGAAAAGGACCCTCGTAGTTCGCGAACATGGGTCCTGGTTCTCATTTCCCGGAAACTTGGTGAGTCCACCCTTGTGCTTCCCACAGTTCGGCCGCAATTAATCTTCACTGTGTCCTCCTAACGACATGGGAATTTGGTGATTGATTCCCATGTTCCGATGGTAACTTGGTAAGTATGCCCCAGGTCCTCCCCTTGACTACCGTAGATGACAGTAAATATTGACCGTTGCTCATAGCTTGACAGAACCTCAAATGCTACATTGCAAGGGGGGGGGGGGGGTAAAGAAAATAAGGAAAAAACGAGCGGGTACAACTATGAGGCTGCCACCGCATGTGGAAAATACTCACCTTTCCTTTGTCTGAAATGAAGCATTCCTATGGCTTCGTCTCACTTTTAGGGGGACTCTCTCGGTATCACAGGGCTCCCCATGTTCCCTCTAGAGCCTCCAGTAGAGAGCTTAGAATAAGGGTACCAACTTTTTGTTCTGTAGCCTGTTTTAGTAGGGGAACCCTCCCCCAAAGGGGTGAGCAACTAGCTGAAAAAAACCTAGCCCTTACTTAGACCTCACCCGAAGAAAAAAAAAAAAAAAAGCTCGCGTGAAACTGGCGAGCCAAAGGCAATTTCCCTTCAAGGGAGAACAAAAAAAAACATCGGCCAACCCAGGTTCACTTGGCTCCCAGGGACCCATCTGGTTCCGTAGGCCGAGTCCAAGATAAAAAAAAAGCCAAGTGAGTCACCTGCTCAAAACCGCTCGGTGCCAAAAATGGTCCTAATCCCAGAACCACTCAAGAATCAAGGAAGGCGGAGATCCGCGGCGATTTCTGGGGTCGTCCCTGACTCACCTTCAATCCCCGACTTTTCCCAGTCCAATAGTCACTTTTCGGCTCCCGGCCGCGTGGGACCGCGAGCTCTGCTCGTTCATGTGGGTGGAGCCTCACCGCTCTGCCCGCAAGAGGCTGGAAAGTTCTGTCTGTCTTAGCAGGGGAACCGAATCCCCCCAAAAAAGAAACGGTGAGAAAGGGCACCAATCGCTGGACCTAGTATCCCTGAACCAAATGAGTCACAACCAAAACCCGGAAACAAAAATGGTCGACCCAGAACTATGCTTCAAGAATTAAGGGACCCACGTTTTCCTGGTGGTTCCAGCCATCCCCTTAGTTTTCTAGTCTTTAGTTGGTTTAGTGGTAGTTGTCACTCTGCCCGCTAAAAGCCAAAGCAACATTTAGCAGGGGATCCGAGTCACAATCAAAGCCCGGGTGGATGAAGGCTGGTAAGGGCCAGTCCCAGCCAGAAATAGACACCAATTGAAGGGAACACCCGTTTCGCCTAGTCGTTTCGTCTAGTCTTGGAAAGAGACGGTTTTGGAAAGCCGTGTTTCCATATGAATATGGGCGCGTCTTTTGTTGAGGCTCGGCACCGCTTTCTTGGCCTTAAAGTCAAACCAGGCCGCTAACAAAAGACGCCCCCAAATTGTTCAGTGGGTTGTTGCGCCCAACCTCTCTTGAGAAACCTCCAGCCTAAAGATCATAGCCATACTGGCCCAAGGAAAGTCCAAACTTGTTGTTTGCCCACGAAAGGGTCCCAAGCTTACAGTCCAGGGACTCGGACAGGTGGAAAAACCCAACACCCTTCAAGGTGTCCTTGGGGGAAAACGGGCGTGAACTTCCTGGGTACGGTTCCCAAAAGAGGCCGAATGAGGCTTAGGGTCGATTGTGGGATCCTTTTGGTGGTTTCCCACATGTATACAGAGATATGATATAATGCCTATCTTTCTAGATATACACACATGTGTTTGTGTGTGTGCGCGTGTGTGTGTGTGTGTGGGTACAAACATGTCAAACATGACTTCGATTTCGCCCACGAATCAACGAATCGAGGGTCATCCTCGGGTTCCTTTAGGAGATCCCTCTTTCCTTTTGCCTTTGGCCCTTTGCCCTTGTTTAGTCACCAACTACTGCTGGTTTAGTCATCAACTAAAACCCTTCAGTCACCAAGAATGCCAGATCCGCTGAACATACTGCGGATGGGTGCGAAATCCCTTTCGCACAACTTTGAAACCATGAAAACCATGGTCTGCTGGCATTTCAGGGTTTCTTCGGCGGTGCAAAATAAATTTCGTCCATAAGGCATGATTTTGCCATCCTTGCCGTGAACAGAATCTACGTGAACAGATTGGGGACCTTCCTTCTGAAGGGACACAGAGGGGAGGTCCCTGCAGGAGGTTGACTAGTGTGAGGGCCAACGTTCCCGCTTAGAACGGTTCTATTCATAACCGGGCGGAGGTATGAATTCCCACGAAAACGGGGACACCTATTAATCAACCACTCGTTTCTTCCGGGGTTCCCATGAAATGGTCGAAACCAACCAGGCGTTCTGCTGCCGTCAGCATGACTAAATACGAATGGAAACCGTACGCTTTTAAGTTGGCCATACATGCTTCCAACAACCAAAAACACATCATGGGAATCTGACCATTTTTGGAGGGTGGATTGGTTGAGGAACACCCTTCAGCCATGTTCGGTGCCCTGAAAACTTCACCCATTTGGGGGCCCTCCACCTTTACAAACGGGGTACTTGGATGTTCAACCTTAAGTAGGTTATAACTGACCCTCAAACTGCCGGTGTGAACCATTTTATCTGCAACAAAGGTTCAAACCATCTTGGAAGCCCCCGTGTTCACAGTTGCAAGCCAGGCCCTCCAGTAGAGAGACTCAGGGTACCAACTTTTTTCTGTCGATTTTAGGGGAACCCTCCCCCCAAAAAAGAAAGGGTAAAAGTTGGCACTGCCGGGGGGCCTCGGGCCACCTGCTCCGGTTGCCTCTCGGTCGTTCGATCCGTTTCGAATCTCCCGCGCCTACTTGCCGCTGCTGAAGCCCCCGCCAGAGCGCCTGGAGCGCGTTGGGCTTCGGCAATTTGGGGGCCAAAACCGAAAAACCTGGGGCGAGACCAAAAGATCATGAAATGGGAGAGGGGAGAGGGGGAGGGGGAGAGGGGGGTACAATGGACACTCGGAGTCTGTTTTGCAAGCTCCTGTGGCCTTTTCCTTCTTCAAATATGGGAAGGGGACTGATGGGTGAAATCCGTTACGTTGAAACCATGCGATTGCTTGATGGTATTTGCAGGGACATCATTCTTCCAGGGCTTCTTAGGTGCGAAATGGATTTCGTCCATCCACATCACTTTGCCAAAAGGAGACGAAACTTTGGGCCCAAAAGGTGAGGTCTACACCCACCAATGGGACTCTTGCCACCAAAAGCAGCCAGCATCACCGACCAAGAAATGGGTGAATGCTGAGTGGGTTGGCCAGAAAACGCCTGGACTTGGGTACCACTGAAATGGTCAAGCCAAAAGTGACTAAAGTCCCAAAGTGGAAATAGATCGGGAACTCTGGCGTGAATCTGATTCTGTTCCATATTTAGCGTACCCTAGAATGATAACATAGGTCTCTTCCTGCATGGATGGCCCCAAAAAGCTCCACCAAACTTGTTTTTACCCCTACAATCCAGACCCCAAAAGTGACTCAAGTCCGAAACAGACCTCACGACCCGCGACTTGGCGGACACCCTCGGCATACCGTGGATGGCTGCGAGATCCGTCTCTCGCAGCACCCTGAGAAACCCAAGGGAGTGGTTCGATTCCAACAAACGCTGTGGGTTTTTTTTCGTCCCCGTGGCTTCGTTTTGTTGGCCGCAAAACGAGCGCGCGGAGGCCGGCACCCTTTTTTTCAATCGCTGTTGCCGCAACTGGCGATCCAGGTGGTTCGTAGATTTTGACCCCCTGGCTGGTCGTTTACTGCACTGAGCTCCAATGACGACTTCAAAACTGGGCTGTCCGTTTTCTGATCCCCTACTAAAAGTTGATGTCTAACTTTCAGTGGATTACATGGCAACACGGCCACCTTTCACCAACTCCAAAAACCTCCTAAAAACCTGAAGAAGAAGAAAAACAGTGCCACAACGTTCAACCGGCCAAGATCCTCTCAAAAAGCCAAAAAAAAAAAAAAAAAAAAAACTTAACCACAACCCAAAAAAAGAAACTCAAAGAGCAAAAAAAAACTTCGGAGGAGGGATGTGCTTGGTTGCGCCCGCCCCCCCCCAAAAAAAAAGAAGCAAAAAGCCGCGGCGCCGGCCCTTCCTTCTCGCTGAGTCCTATGGAGACGCCCAAAAAAGCCGCACGCTGCCTGGAAGGCCTCGGTGAGGTTCCCGCAGGCGAGCTCCGACAGGCGCTCCACGTAGACCCCCCGCTGGAGGTCCTCCGGGGGCGGCAAGGTCGGGGCCGATTTGGCGCGGACTTGCAGAAGTTTTTGGTGCCTGGTTAGCCAAGTTGCTGTTTTTTTCAGTCACTGTTGCTGGTTTTTGAGGTAAAGTGGATGGAAAAAAGCAGCAACTGGCTAACCAGGTTGTTTTTTTTTCTTTGAAGGGACGGCAAGAGGCCACGGGCCGAAATCCAAAGCCCGGATTTTGGCCCCCAGTGAATATCCGATTCAATCCAACCACTAAAATAGGGAAGCCTAAAATGGGTGGTGGATTCACCTACCCCAAAATGGTACCATTGGTTTTGACCCACAGCCAAAAGGACAACCGGAAAATCCGTCCCTGGGGTCAAAAAGTATCCTTGACGCATACCCTTGTCGGTCCCAATCTCGAGTTTCGGGATTTGCATTTCCACGCGACGAACCCAACACTTTTTTCTTGGGGAAGAGGGGGATGTCTTTCTGCCAAGTACAACCCAGATCGGAAAAAACCGTTTCGCCACTAGGTAACTAAGTAGCAGTTGTCCTGACTTCTAAGGCTGGCTCCCGGCCTTAGCCTACAAAATCAGAAAAGGAACCAAGTCCTGAGCCTACAAGACAGGGCTGTCCGCTTTCTGATCCCCTGCGAATAACTTAGCTGTAAGATGGAACCCAACCAGCTTTCACCACCCAGAGGCTCCCAATTTATTTGGGGCCCCACAACCAGGTTTTGAGACCCCCAAACACCTCAGTGAGGTTTCCAATGCTTCGGGGTCTTTCGGGGCCTTCCATTGCAAGCCGAAGCGGATCAGAGACGCTCTGGGCAACTAAAACCCGCAAACCCCCCCCCAAAAGAAAAAAGAAAAACGCAGGAACTCGCTGGGAACCGCCAAGAACCAAAGAGCTGTACCTGGATTGCCAGTTGCTGCTTGTTTTTTTTCCGTGCCCTCAAAACCCCAAAAACCGATCGCAACAGTGACCGAAAAAGCGATCGCAACTTGGCTATCTAGGCAGGTTTCTGAATAGCAAATCAAACTTTGCGGGGCTCACATGTCTCACTACCCATCGGCCAAAAGAGACTTGGGTCTCAAAAGGAGCCCCTTGGACGATACAGGGTGCCTTTTGGTTCCCCTTTTTTTAAGCCACCGGAGTACGCTCAAAAAAGACGCACCCTTTGGTGGACATCATTTGGGGATTTCTGTCGTTTCAGGGTACGTCGCTGTCCACAGGAACCTGCCGCTCCCCGCTCTCGCCGACTAAGGGAATCAGAAGGGATCAAAAAACATCACTCTCGCCACCCCGGCGGGTTGAAAACTAAAAGCAATACTTCCATTTGGTTAAGACCCTGGAAAAAATCGACTGTCCAGTAGTGATAAATTCCTTTTGAAACCAACAAGGGAAATAAAAATAGATGAATAACATGTTCTTAAGCAAATGGAAGATTATGCCCCGGTCCACACGGAACCCATCCACCCCGCCGTCAGGTTCCATGGCGGAACGCGGAAAAAAGAGAGGGTCATGCACGACACGTCGGCCAAAACGCAAAAAAACCTCCGCCCACCGCTTGCGGCGAAGAAAAAAATGGTCCTCGCGGACTTGCAAGTTTGTGTTCTGAGGTTCCTGGGCACGGTAGCTCGAGTCGCCAGCAGTGGGTAGCTCCCTGGATGGCCAGTTGCTGCTTTTTTCCATGCACTTTACCCCAAAACCGATCGCAACAGTGACTGAAAACAGCGATCGCAACTTGGCTATCTAGGTTGTCCCTTTTTGAGGGCCATGGAACCTGACGAGTCGGAGTCCTGGAGAACGATTTTCCCTTCAAAGGGACACTCCGGTAGGTTCCATGGCAACGTGGACAGGAGGGACATTGCGCCTTTTTTTTGTGTGGTGTTAAAGGTAAACCACAAGGTTTCACCCACCCCAAAATGGGGGTCCAACCTAAAAAATTGGACGAGCCACCCATGTGTCAAAATGTGAACCCAACAATGGGAAAAAAAGTGTCCAACCTAAACAAAGGATACCCCATGCGTCAAAATGGGACCCAAAAAATGATTGGAAAGTCCAGTCGCCATTTGCAAAAACAAAGGGAAACGCGACGGGCTTTGAGTCAAAATGTCAGAAGAAAAAGAAAAGAACAAAAAGAAGAAAAAACGGGGACCGGTTGAACAACCACGAACTCACAACCAGCATCCGCAGATCGCTCACCTCCGAACTGGGTGACTTCGCAATCGGCCCGCCAAACAAATGGGGACTTCGGCGTTCCTGTTGGTTCCACTAAAAGTGGGGTCTCCCAACATGGGGTCCACTAAAAGTGGGTCTCTCTAAAGAGGCTCGGTCCCTAAAATGGGATCCACAATTCAAATGCACCCGCGTGCAAGCTCTGGCAGGAGCACCTGCATCGGTGATACATATCTTCAATTGCTTTGCACATGGCTGTTATCTCCGGCGCAATCTGGCACCGCATGTTGCAACAGCAGATTCCAGAGTGGCAGCAAACCCACCCCGAGCAGTCGCTTGGCTTTGCTGGACGTTCAGCAAATCTTGCACCTGACTGCTGTCTCCGCCGGAATCTGGATTGCTCCATGTCGCAACTGCCCCAGATTCAACAATGGCAGCAAAAGCACGGCCAGCCGCTTGGATTTGCTTGACGTTCCTCCTCTGCTCTTGCACCTGGCTGCGGAGACGGCCGCCATAGTCAGAATCACTCCATGTCCCTACAGCCTCAGATTCCAAGATGGCAGCAAAAGCACGCTCACTGGCTCGAACTTGCTTCACATTCCTCAGCTGAGCTTGCACCTCTGTCTCCACCGTCTGGCTGTTATCTGGATCGCCCCATGTCACCACCTCGCCCCCATGCAAAGCAGAGGCGCTGGACGAGTGGCGAGTCGCGAGCATCACTCTGTCCCCATGGCGATCTAGGTAGATCGCAAAGCTTGCGATCGCCTTTTTGGTGGTCAGCCACTGTTTGCGATGGGCTTGTTTCAGGGGGTTCAGGAGTGCATGTAAAAAAAGGGAGCCGCCCAGCTCGCATCAAGCCGCACGCATCAAGCTGCCGGCCCATTTCGAAAGGGCGGAGTGTGAGCTTCAAGCCATCCGAAACTCCCGAAGATCGAACGCGTCAAACCGGGCTCGGCAAAACATCCACCAACGAGAAGACATGAGGTGCAACTGTGCAGCTGAAAACCAGAACATGTGTCTTAGCTCAAGCCTTGTGTACTGAGGGGACTCCAAAACTTGGTTGACGTTGAAGGGGAGCAACAATTTAAGTTTCAGCAGCTAAGTGGTTGGATTCCCACTAAAACCACAATAAGCAAAAATGTAAAGAACGTTTGCCAACAACAACCATGACAGAAGGTCGGTCCTGCTGTTGCTCCTTGCCTCCATTTAAAGTCTTTGAACTAACCAACAAGGAGGTTCCCGAAAAGAAGACTCTAGGTGGAAGTCTGACGTCCGATGCTGGCCGATGCGCGGGAAAATGAAGGCTCCAAAAGCCTCGACACGCAATTCTGTCAAATGGAAATGGCTTGGATGGCATAGACAGGGTTCAGTCTTGGAAGACTTTGGATGGAAAAAATAAAGAGCCGCAGGTTACCCGGGTTTAGTGCTTTTTCTCCAAGGAGCCATTTTGGGCACATTTGCTTGAGCCACCTTTTCAACACTCGATTCCAGGGCACGGACCATTTCTATCTTCGTCGCTTTTGTTGGCACCGCCTAATAGCAAGCACTGCACAGCTCATTAACAAGCATAACGCGGCTACGCTGATCGCCTTCTCTCAGTAGCACAGGCATCCAGCAACTGCGCAACTGCCAGATGGCCTCGCTGTGTAGCAAGATGCAATGGTGTACAGCCCTCGTTGCTCATCTTTTCTTTGTCAGCACTGGCATCCAGCAAGCAGCCCACAATTGCCTGACGGCCCTGCAGTGCAGCAAGATGCAATGATGTGCAGCCCTTCAAAGTTGCCTTCTCTGTGTCAGCACCGGCACCCAGCAAGCACCGCACAACTGCCTGATGGCCCTGCCTTGCAGCATGATGCAATGGTGATTTGCCCAAATTGTCTTCCTTATCTTTGTCAGCACCGGCATCCAGCAAGCACTGCACAACTGCTTGATGGCTGCGAAATGCAGCAATATGCAATGGCGATCTGCCCGAATTGTCCGCCTTCTCTTTGTCAGCGCCAGCATCCAGCAAGCACTGCGCAACTGTCTGATGCCCCTGCCAAGCCGCAAGATGCAATGGTGTGGTGCCATGGTTAGCCACCTTGTCTTTGTCAGCACCGGCATCCAGCAAGCACTGCAAAACTTCCTGATGGCCCTTCTCTGCAGCAAGATGCAATGGTGTGTCGCCATTGTGGGCCGCTTTCTCTTTGTCAGCATCGGCTTCCAGCAAGCACTGCACAACTGCCTGATGGCCCTGCCTTGCAGCATGATGCAATGGTGATTTGCCCAAATTGTCTTCCTTATCTTTGTCAGCACCGGCATCCAGCAAGCACTGCACAACTGCTTGATGGCTGCGAAATGCAGCAATATGCAATGGCGATCTGCCCGAATTGTCCGCCTTCTCTTTGTCAGCGCCAGCATCCAGCAAGCACTGCGCAACTGTCTGATGCCCCTGCCAAGCCGCAAGATGCAATGGTGTGGTGCCATTGTTAGCCACCTTGTCTTTGTCAGCACCGGCATCCAGCAAGCACTGCAAAACTTCCTGATGGCCCTTCTCTGCAGCAAGATGCAATGGTGTGTCGCCATTGTGGGCCGCCTTCTCTTTGTCAGCATCGGCTTCCAGCAAGCACTGCACAACTGCCTGATGGCCCTGCCTTGCAGCACGATGCAATGGTGATTTGCCCAAATTGTCTTCCTTATCTTTGTCAGCACCGGCATCCAGCAAGCACTGCACAACTGCTTGATGGCTGCGAAATGCAGCAATATGCAATGGAGATCTGCCCGAATTGTCCGCCTTCTCTTTGTCAGCGCCAGCATCCAGCAAGCACTGCGCAACTGTCTGATGCCCCTGCCAAGCCGCAAGATGCAATGGTGTGTTGCCATGGTTAGCCACCTTGTCTTTGTCAGCACCGGCATCCAGCAAGCACTGCAAAACTTCCTGATGGCCCTTCTCTGCAGCAAGATGCAATGGTGTGTCGCCATTGTGGGCCGCCTTCTCTTTGTCAGCATCGGCTTCCAGCAAGCACTGCACAACTGCCTGATGGCCCTGCCTTGCAGCATGATGCAATGGTGATTTGCCCAAATTGTCTTCCTTATCTTTGTCAGCACCGGCATCCAGCAAGCGCAGCGCAATTGCATGATGGCCCCGCTGTGCAGCCACATGCAAGGGTGTGGCGCCATTGTTTTCCGCCTTCTCTGTGTCAGCACCGGCATCTAGCAAGCACTGCACAACTTCCAGATGGTCGTTTGAAGAAGCGTTGTACAACGGTGTCTCCCATCTGTTTGTGGCAGTAGCATTGGGATCATGAGGCTTCTCCAACAGCTCTAGCACAAGCTGTGCGTCGCCCCTTTCCGCCGCTTGCACCAAGTCAACACCATTTGCCAAACTCTCTGCTTCACCCGTGACTGCTTGAACATATTGCCGTACAACGGCTGTCAGGCACTCAGCATTGTCCCACGGACTCTCTGGCCCCAACTTGCCTACGCCACTAGCCAATGCGAGCTGCCTGAAATTCCGCAAGCTCAATCCTTGCTTGGCCAGTGTCCATAGGAAACCCACACGCACACACACACACACACACACAACCAACTACCATGCATCTTGTTGAGTGAGCTGATCCTAAATGAACACGCACACAAACAAGGAAGCCAGATTCCAATGGACATGGACAAAAATGGACAACATCATTCAGAATGTTGATGTTGGTTGGTCTGCATTGAACTGCTAGCAAAGCCTTTGGAAAATCAGGTACCAATAGGTAGCTGGGAATCTCTTCGCCAAATGGCGTCGTAACGTGTCGAACAAACAGTCCCCAGCTTCATTTCCACGCCCGTCCCGCCACACGGAATACTCCTCCGGCGTCAGCAAACTCGTGCCATCCAGCAAGCGAACGCACGCCATGAATTGGAACCCCCCGCGCTCGAGCCAAATGTGCATCATGCATTGCATGCGGACTGTATCAACCAGGGGCTCATTTGGACCCTAAATGGGCTCCAACGATGGGCTCTTTTCGGATGCTCAGGATTGCCCTTTGGTGCAAGCTACCTGTTTTATGGCCAAAAATGGGCTCCCCCCTCAAACCCCATAGGTACATCTGTCCTTTAGACCTGGCCGCATGGGCGCTAGCCCCTACTCCAAATACCCATCTCTTTTAGGGCAGGTCGACCCTCTACCAAAAAGGGATCAGTACTGTATTTACCATGGAAAACCGATCGGTTTTCCAAAAAAACAAAAATAACGAGGAAAAAGAGAGGGTATTTAGAGCTTGCGGGGGTAGCCTTGAATTGCCCAAAAAACCGCTTCACGGGGTTTCCGTGAAGCCTTTTTGCGCCGCCCGAGACAAGGCATGGGCACATAGTCATATGGCAAAAGGTAATGACACCGGAGGAATATGGGTGTATTTTGGAGCTACCCTTCTTCCGGGAAACCAAACCTGCAAAACCGACACAGTTTTCTTCCATCCACTTTACCCCAAAAACCGATCCACCAGTGACTGAAAAGAAGCGCGATCGCAACTTGAAGTTGCTATCCAGGTTTCTTCTTCGTTCTTTTTCCCTTTGTTTTTTTTTTTGGGGGGGGGGCAAATCTCGAAATCTGTGTGACAAATCAAAAGAGAATCCGGAGGCAATCTCGAAGGTTCCAACGGAACCTTCGGACTTCGGACTTCGGACGTCTGGGCCGCCCCGCCAGCAGGTCCGTGATCTGCTCCTTACGGAGGAAGCTTTTTCCGATGCCGACCCAGGCGCGGTCCCGCAGCAATTGCGAGCGATAAACAAAAAATGAATCAAGAAACCAGTCTGGAGTTGCCCTTGCCTTTCTTGTTGGCTGGACCTCCAAATCTTTCGTGGAAATGATTTGTTTCTATGAATCCTGTGACAAATGACTTCCAAAAGGAAAAGCTGAGTGGAATCTCCCCTTTCGGCTTCTTGAGCTTGCCAGCGTGGATGTTGCTTTTCCCGCCTGTCGACAAAGCGTTGATTTTTTTGGTGGGGATGTTCAAGCTACTTACCTAGCTAGCCAAGTTGCGGTTGCTTTTTTCAGTCACTGTTGCGATCGATTGTTGGGGTTTTGAGTGCCTGGAAAAAGAAAAGAGGAAAAACAAATCAAGCAACTGGCGATCCAGGTAGGGTATAACCAAGGTAACTCGAGGGGAGCGTTGGCTCACTAAGGTTATGACCTACTTAGGTTAACATCCAAGGACGGAATCTCTTTGGGCAAGCCGAAGCGAAGCCTGGGTTGTTTTGTGCAACGAAACAGCTCGGAGCGAGGAACCGGGAAGCACCCGCCATTGTGACGACCTTCCAACCCGTTATACAGGTGCTTCTCAAAAAATCGGGCAGCGCGTCAGATGCGTTTCCTTTCGCCGTCCCTTTCAAACCGCCCCAGAAAGGGTCCGAAACCACCCAGTTGGAGCAGCCCTCATGTAAAACACAGAAGTTCCTCCAAACCGAAACCACCCAGTTTGAGAAGCCCTCATGTAAAACATAGGACCTAGATGGCCACGTTGCTAGTTGTTCTTCTTCTTTTTTTCTGTCACTGGTGCGATCGGTTCTTGGGGATTTGAGTGCATGGAAAAACGCGAAATCGTCCCTGGCGATCCAAAAAGTTCCTCCAGGAGCTGTTGAGAAGCTGATGCCATGGGGAAACCAAAAGGAACCCCTTGCCAAACGGGCGCAGGCGGCGCCCAAGGCCTCTCAAAAGGCCCCAAATGTTTCACCGAAGCCAGTGACTCGCTTGTGAAAGGTCATAGCCCTTAACAAATGCTTCACCCCCTGGGAGCCAGAAATAAAGAATAGTGATCAATTTTGGAACCAAACGAAAAGTAGAAACCAAAAGGGAAAACGCATGTCAGGAAATCAGGTCCTGGCTGCAGCTTTGACTCGAGTGGCCGCGGGCCAACAACCAAACCTTTCGAACCGGTCAAGTGGGCTTGAGGGGGGTCTATGCGCTAGCTGATGCTTACCCCTACTCCAACCGGGTAGTTTTTGGGAAAGCCTGGTTGTCCAGTGCAAGTACTTCCCTTTTCTAGTGCAGGGTTGACATCATACCCTGGGTATTCTGCTTCTTTGCCACTTGAATGGCAGCCAAACCTAAGTAATTCAACATGGCTTCAAACCAAAGGGGGTCAGGTCAGGGACTTCTTTAAACAATGGTGGGGTGGGTTTGCTTAGCAGTTGGGTTAACCAATACTGTTGACCCCAGATCAATAAGCCCGTCCTGTCAGTACGGGGTGTCCACCAAAGTGATGAATCCCCAAAGGCGACACGCCCCTAGCTTTCAACACAGGGGCTTCTTCATCCGTATCCCGGAGGGTAAGTTTAAGCCGCCATGGTTGGCTTAAACCCAAAACCAATGGCTGGGCTTCTTCTGCATGGCAATTCTGGGCCCAGCGGGGATCTATTAAAAGGGGGTCGCCAATTTTCCTCACAAAGGGCGGAAAATGGGTGCGACCCTGCAGAAGTCCTTGTAGATCTCCAGGAAGGAGCATCTACCTCAGCAGCCACTCCGAGACGCTCCTTCCTCTTGCCGGTTTCTCGGGAGAATCAAAACCCGAAGAATGGCTGGTGTCCTTTGAGTTCCAATTACCAACCAAGAAAGACTAAGTCCTCCTGTAGAGAGGACTTAAAATAAGGGTACCCGACTCTTTTTTTCTCTAGTCTATTTTAGTAGGGGAACCCTCCCCCAAAAAAGGGTAAAAGGGCACTACCATAGGTGTCCTTTTAGGGGAAACAGATGGATATCCCTGGTAGATGAGTAAACCACCAGGTAAACCAGTGCCATCTATTTTTTGACCAACACAACCAAAAAGGACACCTATGGGCACTACTGGGGGGGGACCTAGAGAAGTGGGCACCCTCCAAAAAGGACACGTCCGAATTGGAAGCATGCGTGAATGTCCAGCGAGAGATGGCCCGGTGATATCGAAGTGGAACCGTTTGGTGGGGGGTAATTCCAGGGTTGATTCTGGCTGATCCCATTTTTAGTCAACCCGCCTGATTGGGGAAAAATATGGTGCCGCTGAACTACGATCTGGCTGGCTCGTCTTTTCTTGTGGCTACGCCTTTGCCGTTGAAAGAGAACCCAAAAGAAAAATCGAAATCCATCTTGGGGTTCCCCCTGTAAAACGACGAGCCACCCACACGTCCCCTGCCAAACCCCTCCAGAGAAACTCAATGCAATCTGATCCAAGTGATGCTCAAACCAGCGGACGAATGGAACACCCGGACCAAAGGGTACGAACTTCCAAGAAAGACTCAACCAAGTCCCCCAATGGGTCTACAGCATGACCAAAAAGCTCTCTTGATGGGGCTCAACAAAGGGAAAACGCTTCCAAGCCCAGCCGCTCCTAGAAATCCAATCCTGAGGAGTTGTGGGTGTTTCGCTGAGTTCGCTTCTTAGAGCGGTCACACAGGATCGGGGCCCCCTATATTTCACTTCTCAACGCCGACCAAACGGAAACTCAGGCCTTGAACAAGCGATGCTTCAAACCACCACAAGGGGAAATGTAGGGAACCCTCCCTTTGGCTGCCCTCTAGAAAGGGTACTAATGATTTGAAACATCTCACCCAAGGCCCTAGAATGAGAATCTGTACACAAATGATGTGCTCTGTTTTTGTTTGCCTCATATTTTGACCATCATATATGGTGAGTGCAAGAAACATATATACATGTACCATGTTTATATGTATATGCATAAAAAACGACACGCTTTGGGAAGGAGTCAAAGGCCTCGGTTCTGAATCCGAGCCACAGGAGTGCTCCGTGCCATTCTCCTCCTTCCCCCGCCGGGCGATCTGCGCGGCTCGAGCGGCGCTCTCGAGCGCGGATCGATCCGAACCAAAACGTGTTGGACCCAGAAGCCTCCATCTGCTCGTTACGGCCAACAGAAAAAAATAACAAGATGGCTTGCTTGGATGTTCCACCTAGGTTATAGCCAAGGTTGCAACTGGAATGACTGGGATTAGTTGGCGCTTTTACCGTGACTATGACCTACTTACTAACCTCCATGTGCGAATACGCCCCCTGGGAAAATTGAGCGAATATGTCCAGTGATAGATTCCCTTTAAAACCAACAGGGAAAGACAAAAAAAGGTCAAAAGCAAATGGAAGGAAATCAAAGGAATCTCAGCGTCCCTCTATATGGGTTGTGTTTTTGGAGTGGTTAAGAAGGCAACCAAAAAAAAGAGAAAAAGAGAAAGTGTGGGGGATATGTGGGGACAATGTGGGGAAATTGTGCAGAAAATGCAGGCAAAGGTCATAGCCCCCTTCAACTTAGGGACCTGAAAAATGGCGGTTGGGGAAAGCCACAAAAAAGTTACCACTTTAGCGTCATCCTGATTTTGACACACTCAAACGAGGGAGCAAAAGGGGTTGGTTTCCTCGTGAGTTCCCTTTACTCACTTCCAATCGAGTGGATGGGCCAAAAGCCCAAACTTGTTGTTGTGTTTTTCTTTTTTACCACCAGCCACCAAGGTCCAGACTCAAAAAGTGACTAAAGTCCAGAATCCCCCAGGGGTTATTAATTTGGGGTCAACATTGGTTGGTTTAAACCACAAGGGTTGGTTTAAACAATGCCACAAAATCCAGGAACTCGGAAAGTGAGTTTAATGTTGACAAATGAATCAACGTTCGCTTGATTTTGAAAGGTGGGGCCCCTTGTAGTTGGATGGGGTCTGAACGTAGACCGGGGTTGGGGGAGGGGGCCCTTTTCTGGGGGAGGGGTTTTATTTGGGAAACCCGAAAGAACACAGGCTGCACCATTTTGGGTCCCGGTCCAAACTGTGTCTAAAAAACAAGACGAGCCGCCCATGGGGAAAAAAACAAAAACGTACTTGGATGGTTGGCCAAGTTAGCAAGTGGTTCGCCACCTGTGTTATGACCCGCTAGCAACAAGGTTGACTCAGCAGGGCTTGTAACCTGGTTCTAATTCACCGAAGAGTTGCCGTTACAACTTTCGAACTTGGCGAATCGACCCAAGTACTCAACGTGGTTCACCTGCAAGGGCTCAAATCGATCCGATTAGACCACCACGGTTCCCGTTACAACTTATCAACCTGGCGAATTTCTCACGGCCAAGTACTACCCCCTACTCCAAGTACCCTCTTCTTGGTTGCCATGTTTCGAAAAGCCGGGGGTTTTCCGGGGCAAAACGTAGGTACCCCAGGATCCCAAGAATCGAACACCCGCCCGTCTCACAGCTCTCACCGCCTCCGAGAAGACGTAGTCCAGCATGCGGCAAATGATGCCCCGGCGCTCGTCAAACCTGAGGACAAATCGGCCACGGCGCCGAAGAGAAAGGCCGAAGCCTTCAAGCGGATGCCCCAAAAAGGCTGTGGCTCAAAGTTAAACCGCCGGGGCAAACCGCAGGTGTTGGTCCATGGTTCCACTTACCAGGGTTCCATTTGGGTACCCGTTTTTTGAGCCACGGCCATATATTGCAATGCTAAACCATCACACACAGTGCAATGTTGAACCAACACAATACCCATACTTCCTCAGGGTAGTATGTTAAACTTTTTAGTAGAAAAGGAGGTATTTCCAGGTGTTCCAAAAAATACCCCTAAAATTGAAAGAGGGTATTGGAGCAACTGGTTACCCGCATCTTGTCGTAGGCGTCTGCTCGGGAAACATGAACAGGTCTTGGTACATGAGACAAGAACCACCCTGGATCGCCAGTTGCTGCTTTTTGTCCATCCACTTGACCCCAAAAGCACCAGCAGTTGCGATTTACCCCAAAAACCGATCGCACCAGTCACTGCAAAAAGCGAAAACGCGACTTGGCGATTTCCAAAGGGACGCAACCAGAGAAAACCGAACTGCAGGCCCACCCAGCGAATTCGCTCGGGCTGCTTCGGGACTCCCGGCTGCATGGACTGAACGGAGCCCACCGGCCCGCACCTCGGAGCCCAGAAAAGGAAAACCCGAAAGCCGTGTGGGTGGACTCGTGGACCCCCCGGCAAAAATAAAATGGCTGGGGGGGTCCTTTGAAGTTTCCCCGAAGGAGAAAAAAATACAAAGGGTGATCCTTTTTTGCCATAGCAAGTCTTTTTGGCTGGTGCAAACCTTGTTTAGGTTGTACAGGGGAACTGAAAAGACCGAAGCCATTTAGGGGAGGTCTTTCCATAGACCTTTATCCAAATCTACATGTTTAAACGGACCCACACATTTTTTGACAGAGTCTTACAAGGACTGACCCCAGATTGATCAAGGAGGATTCAACTCCATGAGCAACCATAGGGATGAGCTCCCGAATTTACTGATGGGTATGGTGTTTGAAAAGGATAATTGGGGGGTGTCTGTTTCTTGAGGGTACCCTTTTCTAATCATCAGGACTGAAACACATGTTGAGGGTCACTTGAAATAAGACAAGCCACCCATTTAGGTCGTAGAAGAAAAAGAAGAAGAAGCGGCCCATAGGAATCAGTCCTGGGCACCTCCCCTTGCGGTCTTTGGGTTGTCCGGCTAGTAGGTGGACTAGGTCCTGCAGTAGAGAGGTTAGAATAAGTTGGTGCCCTTTTTTCTGTAGTATTTTTTTAGTAGAAAAAACCCTCCCCCCAAAAAAGGGGTGAGCAAGGGCACCTAGCTGGGGGACCTAATGGATAGTGCAGGTCGTCTCGCACTTGTAAGTCCACCCGAGTCAACCTTTTGCCCACAAGGCAATTTATCCTGGGTCTCAGACCAGCTGCAGACAAAGGCAACAAACATCCATGAGGGTTGATGAGAATGTCCCAACCGAAAAGCAGGCGCCCTTAAACATCGGCGCCTGGTTGCTTTAAACAAACTTTCATAAAGATCCAGCAGATCCCAGAAAAACATCGCCAAAGGGGCAAGAGCGCAATACAAACAACTAAGTCTGGCAATCAAAGAGAACGGTCGGAATCCAGGGTGGCTCCTCGTTCTTGGAGGGTGCCCCCATTTTTTTCGTGGGTTCTAAAGGGAAATGAAAAAAATGAACGCCTTCGCGCCATTTGGCGCGAGGGGTCAAAAATAGGGTAGCCCCATTTTGGAACTCTGGAAAATGGAAGCATGGACTAAACCCTGCGGCTGTTCTGGTATTCTAATTTTGACCCACACCCAAATTTCGGGGGGGTCGCCAGGAAAAACTAAAAATATGTCCAGTAGTGATGAGTTTATTTTAAAACCAACAAGGGAAAAATAAAAATGCTTTTAAGCAAATGGAGGTTTTGGGGGGGCTCCGAAGCTCAAAAGAGAAGCTTCACCCGCCCAGCCCAACACCGAAACTCCGCCAGCTCAAGGCGCATGGTGTGGGTCTTCCCAGCGCCCGTCTGGCCGTAGACGTAGACGCTCCTCGACAAAGCGTCCGCTGCGCTTCGCTTGGGGTGGCAATTGTTCCTATCCCAGCCCGCTGGTGGTTTTGTCTTCCAGGCGCTTGTTGTGTTCTTTTCAGGGTTTCTGGGGCTTGCTTTTTTGGGGAAGAAACGGGGTACCACCCATTTTGGGTGTTTCCCCTGTTTTGACACACACACACACACACAGAGAGAGAGACAGTGTACGATGACAACCCCAAAGCTCTGCGGACTGTTCCCTGTGGATCCAAATACTCCTTTTGGTAGGTAACCAGGAAGGACCGTCATGTAAAACCTGAAGGAACACAGGCGCTCTTTTGGTTAGATCGAAGGCCCTGGTAAAAGGCGTATAAGACCCATCTAAACCAGTGGAATCCAGCTATTTCATTGCCCAAACTGACCCGATCAAAAGGACACCTATGTGAAGGAACACATGAGCTCAATGGTTAATTAACTGGATCCTGAGAAATGTAGAAACTGGGTTGAGCGTTTTTTGTTGCGCCATCGACTTTCACGGCAGCTCGTGTGAGTGGTGATTTTTCCTTGGTGGCCCGCAGCCATCCTCTTAATTTGTTTAGCCTTTTGGGGTTTAGTGGGGGGTTCCGTTTGACCCACCCTGGGTTCCGCCAAGTTGCTGTTTTTCTCAATCGCTAGCGCTGGTGTTTGGGGTAAAGTGCATGGATGACAAAAAAGACAACAAAAAAAAAAGGAGAAAAAGGGAGGAACAAAAAAAAAACGATCGCAACTGGCGATCCAGGTCTCGACTTTCTTTCGCGGGGCATTTGCGGCCGATGTGATGGGATGTGGGGTGAACCGAACTGGGTCGGAGTTCAGGCAGGCCGTGGTTGGAGAAAAAAAAAGCGAGGCCAAGTTGGGGTTCATATGGACGTGGGTGAAAAGCCAAATCGGTTACCCCCCGGTGAACATCCACCAATCCCAACTAAACTGACCAAAATGGGTGATGAATTCACCTACCCCAAAATGGTCATTGCTTTTGATTTCAGGGGTTCATATGGCGGGTCAAAAATGGGTATCCGGCTTGGAACCCGAGTAAATGCAACCAAATTGGGCCCCCCAGAACCCACTCACTTGAAGTGGGGTGGAACGCAACGCTAGGGTACCAACTCACTCTGCAACTCGCGTTTCGAGTTGCTTGGCTGGGCTTTCCCCGTCCAGAAATTCTGGGGCTCCGGACCCGTTGTAGCCGGCCAAACAGCTCGAGCCCACCTAAGGCTACGACAGGATTTGTAGCGAGACCCCTTTGGCTTCGGTGTTCCGGCTTCCCTTTTTGATTCTGCTTTACAGCAGAACAAAGGGGCACCAACTCCGAAGAATGACACCCATATGTCCCCCAAAACAGTCCTTTGGGAGGAAACTTCAACTGGGGCACGACTTGCTGATCATTCATAGCTGCATTCCCAAGCGAGGAATAAGCTCGGTGTGATCCCAAGTGAATTCGAGAGGACTTGTTGTTGCCAGGAATTGCTGTGGGCCCCTTCTTAGGGTTCTGTCATGTGGATGCTCAGAAAAACACGAAAACTCGCTGGTGCGGGAATCAGAAATGGAATGACCCGAATCCCCTTCCGGTTCATTCAACCAGATCCGATTTCGCAGCAACCTCCATTTGCTTAAGTCGACCGGAAAAAAACAAAAAACAAAAACATGAGAACCTACTTCCACTCGTGAGCTCGATTCCCTTTAAAGCCAACGGGGGGAAAGAAAAAATAGAAACTAACCACGTGGAAGGCCAGAAAAGGCGCCATGGCAAGCTGTCGCGCAGGGAACCATGGCCTCGCCCGATAGCAAATTCAAATGGTGTTTGTTTGGTTTTGGTTTAGGTGCCCTGGCAACAACAAGTCTTATCGAATTCACTTGGGATCACAACGAGCTTATTCCTCGCTTGGGAATGCAGCTATGAATGATCAGCAAGTCGTGACCCAGTTGAAATTTCCTCCCAAAGGACTGTTTTGGGGACATATGGTTGAAAAAGGTTGTTGTTGTTTGGGTTTGCTTATATTATTCGATATGTGTTTGATGGTTGTTTTTGTTTATCTCGGTGTGGGTTTGTCTGCCCAACAGAAACCCCTCGCTCGCTTCGCTTGCTGCAGCGACCCAAAGCCGCCGCTCGACCTGCTGGCCATCCTGACCCCCCTCGCTGTGCGTAAACCGCATCCCCACCCGCGAAGAAAATACAAACTTAGGGGGCCTTGTGGAAAAGTAGATGGCCCTGGTAAATGGAATAAGATCCATCTAAACCAGTGCCGTCTATTTTGGAGCAAAGTAACCTAAAAGGGACACCTATGGATACAAAGCATCTGCCCAACACAGCAAAAGAAAGAGCGGGGTGCGGGGAGGGGTCACAGTTTGTCAACCTGAATCTCCAAGTCCCATTGTAAGACCATTCCTCCCCTTGTTTGACTAAAGAATAGTCCAAGTAGTGATGGATTCCAATCTTAAAACGAGGGGGAAAACACACATACCCCCCCCCCAAAACACAATCCCCACTTTTTTCAGGGTATGATGTCGACCCTCTACTAAAGAGGGAGGCATTTACCCTGGAAAAGCTAGGTCTTTCCAAAAAATAGCTAAACTAAGGCCGGGTAGTTGGAGAATTCGGGTAGATCAAATGGAAGCCGTTTGCACCCGGAAACGAAGCCAACCAAATTGCCGAAGGTCCGGTCCGCATAAAGCCCCTCCCATCAGATTCAAGGAGAACCTTTCGGATTCCTGCGAAAGGAAAAGTCGTAAACAACCAGGTTTGCAAAAGAACGGCTCTGTACCCAAGAATCGAACCACTCGTTATACCTGAAAAAAAAGAAGAAAAGAAGAAGAAAAAAAGAAAAGAAAAAAGACAAAAGAAGAAACTGAAGAAGAAGAAAAAACACGGGGCTTGGAGATTGGGGGTTGGTAGTACCTGTTCAAGGTGCTGATCCTTGCCGTTAAAAAAGCCTGCGGAAGAGATCCCTCCCACGTTGGAAAAAAAACGCACCGCGCCAGCCGGCACGGCAGGAACCCAGCCGGCCCCCTTTCTCTGCAGATCAACATGAAACCCAACAAGGTCCCTTCATGTGCTTGATTTGTTTTCTTGTTTTTTGTGTTTGCTTTTTTTCATGTTTTTTGTTTGCTTTTTTCTTCGACATCGATAAACTGATCTTCACAGGCAGGTGAAACTGGGCCTGTGAGGGCCTTGCGTATGGGCTTACAGCATCACGCGGTGGCAGCTTTTGCACCTGTCACCTCCGGCGCAAACGCCTCGGCCTCAGCCTTGTCGGGTAGCAGGGGGTCCGTGTCGTCGTGATCTCCCTTGCTGCTCCTCAGTTGCTTCCTGCTCCCCTGCTAAAAGTGAATAACTTCTAGTGGTTTAATACGGAAAACCCACTAGTTGGCAAAAAGTTATTCAGTCCTAACTTCCCAACATCCAAGCAAAATGCAACAAAGGTTCTGCAAGAAGAAGTTGACACCATCCCCATCGGGAGGTGCAACCGGCAGGAGCCAAAGGCACACAAAGGGTCCCAGCACTGCTCTGATGTTCTCGAAGAGCCCCTGGTCATAGCTCACCGCTCGACTGCCGTACGCGGCTGTGGTCTTCTCACAGAACTCGATGGTTGTGGAGGCATTCGACAGAAGCCAACAGTGAAAGAAGAAAAAACATCCCAGCAGAGTGCCCATAATCACTGCCAAAGTCATGCCAAATACCAGGGCAAATCGATACTCTGGATCCATTTCAACAATTCCAGCTCTGTACACTGTGCTTGCCATGGTGACAACGATGAACCAGCAGTTCATTGCAGAATATAAGACGAGCAGGAAGAAGTACTTGTGATTCCTGAAGCCGACGCAATTTGCGATCCAGGGACAGTGGTGGTCCATCCGCAGGACACATGAATTGCAGACGCGGCAATGGTGACATCTGTCTGGCTTGTACTTTGAACATTTCGTACAATACCGCCGCTCGCCGTTCTGCTTCGCCTCGTGGCATACGAATGCCGACGCGCCCGCACTCCTGGTTTCCAACTTGGCCCTCCGGCTCTCCTCGCGCAGCCAAACCTCCGTGTCCGGCACAGAGCCCGGGCTGGTGAAGACCGCCCGCGCGAAGCAAAGCATCATCCTTGGCTGGAAGAAGAGGACTCCAGCAAAAAAAAACTGTTTTTTTTTGCCTGGTTGGAAAACAAAGGCAACCCAAAAAAGCCCCCCAAAAAACATGGAAAGGGGGAACTAATTCTGGGGAAGCATCATCACCAGCAGCGCCTGCGACACTACGGTCTGCACCACGCCGCTGCGCTGCAGATCTGGGTCCACCTGAACCTCATGGAGCTGGAGGAGTCGGCGGAGATGGAAGCCCACCTCGCCGAAATCTGCGAAGCCCTGCTAAAACAGGGATCCTTACACCTGAACATTGCAACTTGTAAATGGTGATTTCCATTTCTTTATTTTGGTGTTGAAAAAGCAACATGTAACTCAAATGGTTGCAAAGTGTATCTGTTAAGGTGCACTGCTAAAAGTGACTAACTCTTAGTGGTTTAAATTGGGACGGGCATTGGCCTCTTTGTCTGTGAGCCTGTCAACATCATTCAGAACTATTTATAGATTTCCAGAAACTATTCATAATCCATTTAATGGGGAAAATCCATTAGTTGGCAATAAACATATTCAGTCCTAACATCCAGGCAAAATGCAACAAAGCCACGTAGGTCGACCAAATGGCGGCGATGATGCCCAGGACGAAAACCACGGGCAAGATGTTGGAGATGGTGCATCTGGCGTGCCTGAACGCCATGAACTCGCAAATGTAGACAGCCGAGCCGTGGCTAGGGCTGGGTACACCTAATTGAAAGACACCAGGAGAACGGTCACCACGGTCACCATCCCCCGCTTGAGCCAAAGATTCCTCTAAAATGTATGGACATGCCCCAGATAGGCCCCAGAGAGTTCCAGACTGTCTGTTTTGCGGGTACTCCCTTTGTGGATTGTCAGTGGGAAGCCAAAAGCAAAACCATTCCGCCATTTGGGAAAGCCTACAGCATGTTGGATCGGTTGAGTTTCCCTTGTTCTTGTACAGGAACCAGGGGTTCAAGCCCTCAAACCAATTCATGGGCCAAATGTTGGTACCTGGACCCTCAAACATACCAACTTCAAAGCGGGTTTCGGCGGATGTTCTTTTTTCCATTTCGGGGCCGGGACTCCAGGTGACTCCGGCTTCGGGCTCGGCTCCGCACGGATCGGCCCACCGTCTCAAAGACTTCCTGCGCAGAAAACTGGGGCTGAGGCAGGGTTGGGAGTTTTGACGAGCCCAAGGTCGACTTCAACCCAGGAGGTTCCCTTTGGAGAAATCAACCACCCCTGGGTTTAAGTCGACTTTGGGGTAGTCAAAAAACGGAACCCTGGCCTGAGGGGGCCTGAGGGGGCCGAGGGAGGCCGGGACCTGAGGTCGACGCCAAACCACCATGCGAAACCATGCCGGATCGCCAGTTGCGATCGGTTCTTCCCATGCACTCAAAACCCCAAGAACCGATCGCAACAGCGACTGAAAAAAGCGATCGCAACTTGGCTATCTAGGTGGTTGGGATAGAAGCACCAATGTTTACCGTTCAGGGTTGTCCTCTAACTTGGGTCCCAATTCGCCATTCCTTTCATGAACCCTGGGGATACGTCCGCAGACCTGAGGCAAGGTGGCCTGCAAAGTTGGTAACCAGCCAAGGGATCCGAAAGGTCCCAGTCCCCCAACGGATCCGAGAAATCCGATCTGATTGAGCAGTTCGGCGTGGTGAGTAGAGGCTCCTGATGGAAGACCCAGACCCCATGAACAACCCGGAGGTGTTTGGAGCTCTCACAATCCGGCGCTGAAAAAAATCGGGCCCCCAAAAAAACATCGAGCTGGCAAAACCACCCAGCCCAGCCGCTTCGGCCCCCAATTTTTTCGGCCCCAATTTTTTCCAAAGCTCCGCGCCTGCTGAGTGGCAGACTCCCCCAGCACCCCGTCGAAAGTGAAGCTCCTCGCCCAAAAGGCCAAACGGAAGGCGGCGAAATAGGGGCGACGGACTGAGCCAATCTTGTTTTCTCTCTTTTTTAACGGCGACACCGAGAAGAAGCAAAAAGCACCTAGATAGCCAAGTTGCGATCGCTTTTTTCAGTCACTGTGGCGATCGGTTCTTGGGTTTTTGAGTGCATGGTAAAGAGAAAAAAAAGAAAAGAAAAAAAAGCACCTGGCGATCCAGGCAGGTCCAAAATCGGGGGCTGAGCTTTCGAAACAGTTGTCGTCAAAGAATCCGCGCACCGAGAGAAGGAAAAATGCATCTCCAGACTCTGCGTCACATACGGTCTACCTCGAAAAGGAACCAAGAATAAGAAAACGTAAAAAAAAAAGGAGAAAAAAAAAACAAAAAACAAAAAAAAAAACCTCAGGTTGGAGGGGCCCCCCTCCAAGCTCCCAAGCCCCGGGCGAAATGGGACCGAAGCCGACCCACCGAAGCCGACCCACAGATCGACGCCTCGGGGGGTCGGATTTCAGCAGCACGGAACTGCCCTCCACGGTGACCGCCTGAACCGCCAAGATCGCCAGCCCCCAAAACATACCCTCGGTTGCGAAATCTGCGAAGCCCTGCTAAAAGTGACTAACTTTTAGTGGGTTAATACGGAAAACCCATTAGTTGGCAAAAAGTTGAAGTCCTAACAGCCAAGCAAAATGCACCAAAGTACCCCCGGACTCCGACTCTCCAAACGACCCGCCTGGATCGCCAGTTGCGATCGCTTTTTTCCATCCACTTTACCCAAAAAAACGATCGCAACAGTGACTGAAAAAAGCGATCGCAACTTGGCTAGCTAGGCCCCTTACTCTCCAAAGACCCGCTTTTAGTTGGTATACTTTCTTGGAGAACCTGGCTTTCCAATGGTGAATACCTCTGTTTGCCACAAAGTCGACATCATAGCCTAGCAGGGTTGTGGGATCCAGGGGGTTTCTCCCCACTTCTGTGATACTTTTGGGAATCCCCCTTTCTATGAACACAATATAGTCTTTGGCAAGCCCTTTCCGTTGTATCACAGAAGTGGTCGTTCCCCACAGCCCTGTAGCCTAGAGAATGTATTTTGTGTTGGGAGGTGCCCTGAACGGGAAGTAAAACTCATGATCTAATCCCTAGGGTCCATAACTTGTGACAAAAATCAATGGATCAAACATGAACCCAAGCATTTGTTCATTTTGGGGGGGGGGGGGGGGTGAATTTCAGGCTTGAAGAGATGAAGATGTTTTTACTAGAGACCGTTTTGTCACCTGTTCTTCACCCTGTTGGTCTTTTTTTGGTAATCTTTTAGTACTCTTTTAACCTTCTACAGGGGTGGAACCACAAAAGCCACATAAGATGTTTGGCTGCGCTTGAACATGCGGCTCCCCAGTCTTTCAAACGGCCATCAAATCGCAAATGGTGCAGGCACGCGCTGTTTCACCAAACTTTCCTTGGATCGGCCGCTCTGAAACGCTATATAAGGTCACAACACAAAAGGGAATAAAGTTGTCGCGTACCTCAAAACCATGCTTGGTCACAAAGTTGCACGGCTAAAGGGGGGTCAAATTGGAGGTTCCCCAACCATGCGCCGCTGCGCCCTCAACCCCGGGGTTCCTTGCGCTTAAACCGAATGGGAAGCTTGGGATCCAATTTGGAGGACGTGTCCAGGGTAAAAGCCCTGCTTTTTTTTGAACCCGAGCACTGTTGGAACGGTGGCCGGCAACTGAACCCCAGAGAACCCAAGCAAAGTGGCGCCATCGCAACACACGCAACTGGGTGAGAATTGCCGAAAGCAACTGTACCGATTGGTGCTCACTGAAATTCGGGGATCCAATTTGGATGATGACAATCTGAAGAAGAAACCATCGTCATATGAACCCAACCAGGGTTTTAACGTTTGAATCCCAGGAGTCCCCCCCCCCTGCTGTTGGCAACTGAAATCCGGGGACAAAGTTCTTGGGACAAAGTTCTTGGGCATCGGTTTCCCTTTAAATCATTGGGGAAAGCGTGTCACTTTCATGACCACCCCCGCTCCAAATACCAACGCCTCTTTTTTGTTGTCCGCAGATGGGGGTGTTGTTTTGGTTAATCGAGGGTGCCTTTTTGGGACTTAAAGGGAAACCAAGGGAAACGACTTGTTTTGGGGGTTTGAGACAAACCCATACTTGAAAAACCGATCGGTTTTCCATGGAAAGAACACCTCCCATCTTACTTGGGGGTTGACATCATACCACTAACAAACAGGGATCCTTGCATTATACACCTGAACATTCCCTTGTAAATGGTGGTTTCCCTTTATGTTGGTGTTGAAAAAGCCATGTTTCACATGGGTAAAATGTATCTTTTAAGGAGCCCTGACAAAGCTGGGTGTTTGCAGTGGGGGGTAGGATCAATCCTCCACCGCCCTCCATCCCCTGGTGACCATGAGCAAGTCATCCACTTTCGTTTCACCCTTTTTCCGGGGTGGCGTTTAGAGGGAGAACGGCTTTTCTAAAATGGCGGTGAAATGTATAAACCCAACCATGGTTCTCATGGATTTTGGTGGCTTCCCCAGACTAATTAAGTGGCCTGAACTTCACAGAAGGGAGCTCTGCCCCCCCCCCCAAAGGTGTCCTTTTAGGGGAAATAGATGTATATCCTTGGTAGATGAGCTCCTGGCATTCCCATGGCATCCACCCCCCCGGGCCCTCCCCTCCGCGCCTTGGGGCTGGCCACGGACACCTCCCGTTCCGTCGCAGGGCGCACGCGGATGTAGACCCGGACCTCGGCTCGAACTTGGCGGCCGCCGGGGGAGGGGGGAAAGGGGGGGACGGTACTCATCGCGAAACGGGGGGAGAAAAAAAAAAAACGAGCCGTTGGGGGGGGGGGGGAACTCATCCCCAAGAGGACGCTTGCCTCGCGCCTGAACGGACTCCATGACATCCGGGCACCATACTCGAGAAAGGACGCAGCGAAAGAAGGTTGAAACCATGACGTTTGTTGCGACTGTGGACCATTTCGCAGCACTTTGAAACCATGGTTGAAACCATGGTTTGTTGGTGTTTACAGGAAAAATCATACTTCCAGGGTGTGTTAGGTGGATTTTGTCCATCCCCAGTGCTTACGTGGGGAAGCCAATCAGAACCAGGGTTTCTGAACGGTGGCCCGCCAAAAAGAGGTGCGCCCAACATATACAGTTGTCTGGCTCTACCATATGAAGCGTACACAGTATTTTCGTAGCGGGTGTGTCTTAAACTAGGGCACCCCCCGCCAAAGAAACAGAAAAAGATTGTCTGGTTCCCTTTAAATCCCCACCGCGAATCCGCCTCCCTCCAATTGGTGGTTTTTGGTAGTTCGGATTGTTTGTTTTGAGGTTAGGCATGGTTTCCCATTCTCCCTCTTCAAGAGCCACTGGTTCAAATTTCCAGGTCACCACTTCAAACAACCAAGGGGGGGTACCTGATCAGTGGGATTCCTCGGAGTCTTGGAAAAAGCAATCACGGCAGGGTTCCTTAGATGCCCCAGAAACAAAAAGATGGCCTGACCAAACGGGGCCACCCTGTCGCCTAATAACAGTAGTTATACGCCAACGAACCGCTGTTGCCGGAATTATAACCTTGGTTATAACCTACCAAGCAGGAGGAACATCCAAGGACACATCCCCTAACTTCCATTTGCTTCCGACTGCAAACGTGGATGTTCAAACTACTTAGTAGGTGGGCGTTTAACCGTAGTTGCCCCAATTGTAACCTTGGTTATAACCTACTAACTAAGCAGGAGGAACATCCAAAAACACACCAGGTTTTGGTCCATGTTACGCAGGTTTTGGTCCACGTTTCCCCTTTCCAGGGCAACCCATTTTGGTACCGGTCTTTTGATTCACAGCCAAATAAGTAGACTGAGCCATCCCAGGTATCCAACCAGCTGCCAACCCTTTCGGCCACGTCCTCCAGGGCATCGGCGCCTTCGCCCTCCTCGATCTCCTCCTGGAGCTCAAAAGCGACGACCCATCGTGGCGGTGAACTTCACAAAACCTATTGGACCGCTGAATCGCTGAAATGGGTTTTGTCTTTCTGGGTTGCCCTTGGGGTTGAAAGCCAACATTTCAGAAGGAACTGGCAATTTCAGATTTGTTGATCCACCTTTTTCCAAATTCAGAGATTCCACGCATCGCCTCCACACCGCGAGGCCGCACAACGGCTGGCTGATAAACCCCTAACCCCTGCGAGGTTTTTCGGGCAGGAAAATCAGGCACCCTAAGAGTCCTGCTGGGATTTGGGGCAACAAACCCCGAACTAGAGCGGGTCCAGGGTTCTGCAAGTCCTAAGCCCGAAGCGATCAAACCAACTACGTCCAGCCAAGCCCCAGCGCGGGACTTGGCGCACTTGGCATCAAAACAAAATACCTCCGGACAAAGTACCCCCGCAACCGCACAACACCCCCACGGTTCTCAGGGTACGACGTTAAGCAAGTAATGAAAAGGGGATCAGTATTTGCCCAAAGGAGAACCAGGCAGGTTCCATTTTGTTTTTTTCGCCCGGATATCCCGAAGCGAAAAGCGGGGCCCATGGAAAGTGCACTTCCCTTTTCAACGGTCCTTTGCTGCTTTCTTGCAGTCCCTTATGTGTATGTATACGTATAGAAATGTGTGTATATGTATATATGCACATGTATGCGTGTGTATATATGTATATATGTGTATGTGCAAAACACGTGTACTTGTATTTATGTGCATGCAAAAATGGAAATTGGCAAAAATGTATATGCATGTGTGTATATATATATATGCAAATTATGACAAAGCCTCATATGACCCCTTCAAACATTATCGACCACCAAGGGAAACTCATTTCAAAATAGCCATCCCAACAAAGACGCTCCATGTTTGACTCTCCGGGCCTCGACCCCCCCCCCCCACCGCGATCGAATCGAAGCCTTGCTGTGCAAGGACTGCATGGACATGCTCGTGTCCAGGGTATCCTCAGCCCATGTGAGCGATCGAGTTGTTACATCTCTACCTGCAGTCTCCAAATCTGAACCGAGACAACGATGGGCCCCAACATACCCCCTCGCTCCAATACCCTCTGTGTTTAGGGTATTGTTTGATAAGCCTGGTTTGCCGGGAAAAATACCTTCTCTTTGCGTAACCGGTTCATGATGCCCGAGAGAAATATGGCCTTGCGTGTGGGGGATATGTTGGGTGTGGCGTCATGGCAACCGACAGGAAGTCTTTGGCCATACAAATCGACCAGTTGCCTTCCTCAGGGCCAGGGTTCGCCATGGTCATGGCACGTTTGATTACAACTGCCCGAAGGTTACGGTGGCCAAGGAGGGCATGTAACCCTGGTCAGAACATATGAAACACACGGGTTCTGACCCGGACGTGCAAGCATTGAACCCTCGTTCTTTTTTTCTCCGCGAACCCCCGCATCTTAGGCTTCAAAAAGAAAACTTGGATCCCGACGGCGCGGCACGGACGCCAAGGACGAGCGCAAAAACCCCTGCTGGGCTTCTCGAAATGAGCGGCTCGTCTAACTTTTTTGGGAGTTGGTACCTTTGTTTGGCGCCTTTTAAACGGGGGCCAAAGGAAGACCTGCGTTTTGGGGGCGCCCCCTACAAAAAGACACACACACACACACACGCACAATCGGGATTCCGAACCCCGCCCCCAACAAACAACAACAATGCGTCCGGTTGTCCTGTTGGTTTCCCGGAAACAGAAAAACTAAGACGCCACAAGAAAGGGTACCCGTCGCCTCGAAAGAAAGGAGACACATGGTTAACCCACCAAGCCCCGGGCCAAGCGGGACGCCATGCGGCCGGCTCTCTCGCTGACCGGGTCCCGGGCTCGGTGCTCTTAGCGATGGAACGGGTCCCGGGGGCGTAAGTTGTACCCGCTACCCCCAGTGGATCCCAGTTGCCTCTGTAGCAAGTAACCAGCCATGTTCTTCATTATTTTTTCTCGGCTGGCAAGCCCTTGGTTGCCTACATCAGGGAAATGGATGCTCCGACACGCACAACACCCCACTTGCGAACCCTTGACTAAGAAAGGCATGCAGCCTGAGGCTTCTCAAAAGAGCACTTCAGAGGAAGAGGGTGTTCGGGGGTAGCCCAAAAAGGGCACCAAGGTACCTTTGCAGAAAATGTTCAAGCTTTTGAAGTACTGATTCCACCCCGGTTCCCTTGGTTCATTTGTACAGACCGGAACCAGGGCACCTGTTTGACTGTTGACTCTTCCATTCTGCCGGGGCTGCTTGCGCTTCGGCTTGAGCTTTGCTTCAATTATGAGCTTCCCATCTCCCGCTTGAACCGCGAACCGCCACGGGTGGAAACGACGGATACTGACCTTCGCTTCGATACAGCTTTGAGGCCCAGCGGAGCCATTTTTGGTATAGGAAATGAATCAAGGGCCAGCCGAGGGTAAGAACCACAAGGAAAAATGGATCGCAGGGTTGCCTACTATACAGGCGAAACGCCTCAGGTCTGATCTACTAGGATCTACCAACCTGAACCCTCAAAACTCCAACTGGCAAATGGGGTGAGTTGCAACCCAAAAGTTGTGGTCCTTGAATTCCTTCTCCTTCTGTCAGTTCTTTCAGGTTCAGTTATCTCTTTTAGGATCCCCCAAAAAATGGCCCGCAACCGGAATATCCGTTCTTCTGCCTCGCAAAACCTAAAATTGGCCTCGGCTTTCTGGTTTCGAGTTGGCGCGGTCGAAAGTTTGAAACTGTTTGGGCGTCCAATAGGAGAAATCCCATCTGCTTCCCGAAAAAGTGAAAGCGCAAAGATCCAACCAAATAGCCATGAAGAACTTGCTAAACGGCGAGAATCCGGGTTCAAGTTCCAAATCCAAACCATTAAAGGTTTTTCTGAGATCAACAGCCACCCTAAAAGAAAGGGTACGCTCAAAACAAGACACGCGGCCCAAATCTTGATCGAACCAACACTCATCCCCACCGGCCAGGGTTTTTGTGGCCTTCGTTACAAGGAGAGTTTTGGATGTGGCGGCAGATTCGGAATCTGGCAGACTTCGTTTGCAGATGCCAGGCGGAAAGTGGGTTTTCCATACCAAATTGCCTTCCATTACAAATTGCCTTCGTCCAATAGCAAATTGGTTTCCCATACAAATAGATTCCACATTCCAAATTGTTTTCCCATCCCATACGAATAGAGTTCCTAATACATTTTGGTTTGTTCGTTCCATTACACATGCGGCATGCCAGTCGAATAGATTTCACATTACAAAGTGGTTGCCCATTACAAATTGGTTCCCCATACGAATAGAGTTCACAATACAATTTGCGTTCCCATTACAAACTTGGCGTCCCATCCAAATAGATTTCACCGTACAAATTGGTGTCCCACTACAAATTGGTGTCCCATAACAATTGTTTTCCACTACAAAGTGGTTTCCCGCAACAAATGGATTCTCATTGCAAATTAGTTTCCCATACAAATAGACTCCTTTACAAGTTGGTCTTCCATTACAATTAGTTCCCGCTAGCAAATTGGATTCCCATACAAATAGATGTCCAATTACAAAATGGGTTTTCCATTCGAAATTGATTTCCGGGAACAAATTGGTTTGCCATAACAAACTGCTTTCGCATACGAACTGTTTTGGGTCAGACAAAAACCTGCAAACATGGGTTTGAAGTATGCCCCCCTCAGTCAAAGACCCGACTTCCTGCTGATTTTTCAAAACAAACCCTCAAGTTTGCATTGTTTGACGCCAAACGGCTCATGCTAGTTGACCCATTCGAAAGGTGCTTGGTGTTTTGTTTGCCACAAGTTCGCCACCGGGCCTACCCACTGACAAAATGGGTTCACTCTTCTGAAGGGAGACACGCAAGTGAATTGTAACCTATCTGTCCAAATCACCCTCAAGCCAGGTAAAACCACCCAAGAAATGTTGCCCCAGCATGTGTTGTTCTTCTTTTTCCTGTTCTCTGGGCCGCCCTCAAATCCCCCGCTAAAAGTTTAACTTTTAGCAGGTTCAATGGAAATCCAACCACTAAAAAGCTGAGCCAAAAAGCCAAGGAACCAAATAACTGGAAAAACCACTCTGAGCGGAGGGGTCCGCTGTCCGGAGCCGGCGGGCCAAGACCTGTTTTTCCCGCGCCGCCAGCGGCAGGTCGATCGCCTGGGAGACGGATCGCGAGCCGCCGGGCTGGGAGGGATCGCGGGTGCGCGGCCCAAAAAGCCCGGAAAACGTGTTTAAAATGTCCGAACGGCAAAAAACGCCTGGAAAACGTGTTTATATATATATATATCTTGGTTTAAAAAAACTGGAGAAACGGCGAAGGGTTACCCACTACAGTGACGAAACGCCTGGGATCCATCTGGGTTGGGTCTCTCTCTCTCTCTCTCTCTCTCTGCGGATTTCGTGCTTCCAACGAAAATCCCGGTAGGTGGAAGCCTGTCTTCAGGGGCTTTGCCCGACTTTTTCAGGCCCATGCAAAATGCCTCCTTTGAGGCCTTTTGCCTGAACACAAAGAGGCCTGTCTGTCTAATTAAATCGCTACCCGCCCTCCCACTAACATAGCACCTGTGGGAGGGTACCTGAAAGACACATTTCCTCTTGTAAGGACCCCCTGTCAGGAGCAATGCTAGTGGGCGTAAGCGTAAATAGAGGGCACCTTGCCTTTGAAGAACGAAGGGCGCGGCACTGCCGCAGGTGCACATACGAATTAACGGCCTCCGTGCCATTTTGCACGCGAAGGCCGCCGAACCGGGTTGAAAGGGCAAAGAATCCAAGGACGGCCACGGGACCTTTTGGTTAAAGCGTTTCTGGGGTTCAGTCGCAGGCCACCATTAAAACAAGGCCTTTCCATTCATATGTCACCAAAACGATTGCCATTCAGGATTGTCATCCATGTTAACACCCAAGGCCAATCCTTTCATGGGGGCAAGGAGGATACTCTTGCCCATTCTTTTAAGGCTTCCTGGATCGCCAGTTGCTGCTTTGTTCCATGCACTTTGCCCCAAAACCAGCAACAGTGACTGAAAAAACAGCAACTTGGCTATCTAGGTTCTCCTAATTCAAGCATGTTGAACCATAAGGATTTCTCGCGATCACCTCTCTCAATGGAAGACTTCGGAATGCCACCGGCCATCCTGCACCGAGACCGGGATGTCAGCAGTTTAGGACACCCCCAAAATGCTGGGCTTCCTGTCTGGCTCTTCATTTCTTTTACAGGGAGTATCCTCAAAAAAGAGACTCCCACCACGCAGAATAAAAGGCTCCTGAACCCAAAAGCAAAACGACTCGTTGCTTTCTCAGTTGCCTTCTGGATCGCCTGCACTTTCGCTGCAGCTCCATCTTCAAACGCGCGAGTGGCTGCAAGCACAATGCGGGCACCCCCACACAAGTAGACCTCACAGTGAGAATGGTCGACGAACTGGGCAAGCTGGTGCCGGTGCCGCCGGATTAGGTCCTCCGTTATTACATGACGGCCGGCGCAGGAGTGCGAATCATCTTGAAAGAACGCCGCAGACCAACATGGAAGCCAACAAACTGCCCATTGTTTGAGGAATCTTCTGTTGCGGGGGGACCTCCTTTTTTGGGGGCTCCATCTTAATTTGCAGGGGGAGGAGTCGTTCACAAGGTGTCATTCTGCATTGTTCGTGGGCTCTCTGTCTTTTGAGTCCATTTTGCCCAAGGATAAGCCCTTAAGGTTGATAAGGGAGTTACGGCCCCCCTCCCCCAATTCCTCCCCCCCTTGGGGGTCCATGATTTGGCTGTGGCTCAAAAGAATGTACCAAAATGGCACCTTGGTAAATGGAACCAAAGACTAACACCCGCGTAACCCTGGCCCTTTAATTTTGAGCCACACCTTTTTTGCAGACTCAGTGAGTCCTGCACGTAGACCTTCGGTGAAGCAGAAGACACCGCATACATGACGCAGCTCAATGCTCCGCTCTGCCTGGCTGCCGTCAGCTCCTCCTGCAGCCACACGGGCACATAGCGGCAGCCGTAGATCAGCACTGCAGGCCCTAAAGTTGAGCCTGCCCGTGGCCAAACGGATTTTCAGCCTAGGTCCTCCAGTAAGGGTACCCGATGTTTTTTCTGTAGTCTATTTTAGTAGGGGAACCCTCCCCCCAAAAAAGGGTAAAAGGGCACTACTGGGGGACCTAGCAGCCAAAGAGACGGATTGTCGGGTGGCGAGTGGCTGAAGCGAGAAAAACCATCTATTCCTCCTGCCAAAAGAAAGAAGAACGCGTAAAAGGCAAGGTATAAAAACCTAAGGGCCAACTTACATACCCCAAAGGGACATAACACACCTATGGGCCTGATGTAGGGATGGCGTTTGGGGTATGTATGCTGTACAGCCAATGTGCAACCACTAATTTTGGGGAAATAAATAAAACAATCAAAAATCCCAAAAGGAAGTTTCTTGGGAGTCCCGCTGGAGGCAGTCACTGCAGTGTATTTTCGCTTTCGGGGCCGGCTGGGTAGGCGCGCACTGGCGCCAAGCTTGGCCAATGCACACTGCAGGTTTCTGCCCAATTGGTAATTTGTGATTCACACTTCCTGTGGAAGAGGTAGCCCCTTCCGAACTCATCGCTTTCGGAATTTCGGGGCTCACCTTTCAAGTTCCTCGAGAGGTTCAGGACACCGCTGGTTGCCTTCCTTTTCGCCTTCTTTCGGCGTTTCGGCGCCTCCCACAACCCCAAACCTAGGACCCCAGCAAAAAAGTATCTGTTTTTCCTGGTTAGTGGAAACAAAGGGACCCCAAAAAGCCAAAAAAAGAAGAAGGGGAGCTAATTCTGGGGAAGAAACCTCCCCCACACGAAAACCCCCCCCAAACCGAAGCACCCCAAAAACCCCCCGCCTTGCTGCGCCAGCTTCATGCGCTCCTGCCAAAAGCCCCGAAAGGGCGCCAGACCCGAGCCGCCGGCCACAAGCAGCAGGGGCGCCCGCGGGTCACCCGGCAAGTGGAAGCTGCGACAAGTTCCTCTCAAAAACCAAAAACCCTAGCAACAATCCGAGGAGATCATCTTTCGGGACCACGAAAAGTGCACCAAAATATGGGGTTGGTAATCAGATCCCAACGGGTAAAGGGGTCCTGGAGTCTCCATGACCCCTAGAAAAAGGGGTCACAACGGAGACGCCAGGTAGATCTCACACGAAATCCGGAGCTTTTTCCGAGAAAAAGTCAACATCTTATGGCTGGTGCGAGAGCTGCAGGGATTCCCGGCACCCAATCCAGCCCAAACTCCCGACAACCAAACCCTCGGGTTGTTGTAGAGGGCAAAGACTTGCTGGTGCTCAGTAGGGAATGAGGGAATGAACCTGGGGGTTCTCTGAAAGGAAACCACCAGTTGGATGGTTTTTCTCGGGGTCATTCCATTTCTCATTCCGACTACCCCGAAAACGAAATCCGGAGAACGGAACGACTTGTCAGATTTGTTGTTTTTGTTTGCGAGCCGCCAAGAACCACCCCCGCAAAGCTCGAAGAACTGCATGAGCCAAAGGGATTTCGGCCATGAATGGTTCAAAGGGCACAACGGGGACATCCTGAAGAAGCCCAAGCTCCAGAGACCAAACAGGTGGCTCGTCTTGTTTTTAGTTGGCACCCGTTTTTGGTGGGTTCAAAGGGAAACCAACAGGAAAACCACCCATGTTAGTGGGTCCCCTAAAAAAGAAAAACCGCCACCCCCCAAAGTAAAAGGGACCTGGATAGCCAAGCTGCCGTTTTCTCCAGTCCCTTGTTGCCATCGGTTTTTGGGGGTTTTGAGTGGATGGAAAAATGTCGATCGCAACTGGCGAGCCAGGGGGTTCAGAAACCGGCGAGGCTCTCACTTGGACCATGAAGCTGGATTCCGGCGTCAACGTGGTCAAGTCATCGCTGGCCACGCCCTTGCCGTGCTCCGAGATGCTTCCTCAATCCCCCAATCGAGACGGCCCCCAGGTCCTCCAGAGAGGTTGGAATAAGGGTACCCGATTTGTTGTTCTGAAGTCTATTTTAGCAGGGGAACCCTCCCCAAAAAAATGTGGTGAGAAAGGGCACCTAGCTGGGGGACATAGGCCCCAAAAAAAAAGGGAAGCCACCTCCACAGGGGGCTCGGACTCCATTTCTCATTCCCTACCTAGCAAGACGTCCGTGGGTGTCAGACTCCATTTCTCGCATTCCCCATCGCACAACCGCAAGTCCAACTCAGGAAGCGAGCTTCTGGAGACCAGGAGATGCACCTCGCCGCGCGGCACCAAATAAGAGCTCGACGCAATGGAGTAGATGCGGGCGCGGCTCGCAGGCAGCAGCAGCAGAAAGTCTTCCAGGGGCACCTGGCATTGGACACGTCCAAAGCACTCATGATGGAAACCGCGGAGGGAAACAGAAAACGTGCCTGGCTAGCCAAGTTGCTGTTTTTTCAGTCACTGTTGCTGGTTTGTGGGGTTTTGAGTGCCTGGAAAAAAACAGCCACTGGCGATCCAGGTCAATCCTCAGTGGAGGGAGGTGTCCAATTCCGTTTGAAGGGAGGATCTTGCTCCGTCCACATTCTCGGAAACCCTGTGACCCCGTTTCCAAAAGGCGCCATCTCTTGGGTCACCAAAAGAATGGAAGAGAGAACCGCTGAAGACAGAAGTTCACGTCCCAAGACCTAGGTCGCTGGGGCTCATTTTGGCCTTAGGGTCCTTTTGGGGCTGGGGTCACAAAGATACCCTCCAGACAAAGCAAGCAAAGGAGGGAAGCGAGTTCATGCAAGTGGGTAGTGAAGGGGGGACTTTGCCAAACGATGTGCCAAAACCGAACCGAGGAAAATCATGCCAAGCGGAAAACTTACCATCCCTCGGCATCTGCATCAGCAGGTGCAATGGATCTGATCCGTGGCAAACAACGCCACTGAACCTTTGACGAACCGAAGGCGCCCACCCCCCCCTTCCCCCCCCCCTTCCCCCCCCCTTCCCCCTTCCCCCTTCCCCCCCTTCCCCCTTCCCCGCCCCTTCCCCCCCCCTTCCCCCCCCCTTCCCCACCCCCCCCCCTTCCCCCACCTGACCCCGAAGGCTCGGAAAAGTCTCAAAGACAAAGGCCCAGCGCAACTCCCTGGCCACGGGCTGGGACTCCAAGCGCTTCTTGTCTGTACCTTGCCCAACGAACCTGGATCGCCAGTTGCGATCGCTTTTTTCCATCCACTCAAAACCCAGAAAGAAAAAAAAGAGAAGAAAAAAAAAGAAGAAGAAGAAAAAAACGATCGCAACTGATGTGTTATTTACAAAAGAAGAAACAAAACGCGGCTTGGCTATCCAGGAGCGCCAAACAAGACGTCACCGAGCTTCTGGTTTACCCCACTAACATGGTCCAGCCCAAGAAAGTGTCAACTCCAGGAACTCGGGGAGTCAGATTTAAAAAAACCAAAGGGGCAACACACATCGGGTCGGGGCTTGGCTGAAGCGAGCGAGCGGCCGTTGGCAAAGTGGCTCAGCGCTCTGCAGGCCGAGCTCGATAAAGACTCGGCCAGCGCAGCCTGACTCAGAACACTGCGCATGGTCGTGCGCTTGTGCTGGATCTGCTGGAGCAGAGGATGCTTCTCTTTGTTCAGGTCCTGACCAGAGGTGTCCTTTTAGGGGAAATCAAGTAGATGGATGATGAAACCACCAGGTAAACCAGGAATCGCCGTCATTTTTCAAGCAAAACAACCAAAAAGGACACCGATGTCACCCACATTTTCCCTGGGCCAAAGGTTGGTAACTATCACCTCGGAGTATGTTGGATCGGTTCGGTGGTGTTCCCTTGATCGGTTTGGTGGGTCCTCACAATACGCCACGAAGACCTCATCCGGGCGAACTCGTAGGGCCCGGCAAATGCTCTCAACAACCTTGGTTGCTGTTGACCCCTCTGCAAAAAGTGAATCACCTCTTGTGGGTTTAGTTCAAACCCCCTTGATTCCCCAAAAAGTAATTAAGTCTAAAGATCCGTTGCCCAATAGCAGTCAAGCAACCCCCGCAAACTGCTGACCCCGCGGAACCACCGCCAAGTGGTCCCCGGGCTTGTACGGCACCGAGCTCCGCAGTTGCAGCCGTACCAGGGCCTTTCCAGGCGCACAGCTCGAGGCCCACTGAGAAGCATCCCCTTCCTCGGCTGCTTTCTGCTCCCCTGCTAAAAGTTTAACTTTGAGTGGTTTAGTGGAAAACCCATTAGTTGGCAAAAAGTTAAAGTCCTAACAGCCAAGCAAAATGCACCAAAGCTTCCATGGGGTGGACCTGCACGCCCACCGCCTCAACGAATCTCTCCCGGGAAAGACCCTCGGCTTGCAACGTCTCCGAAGCTTTGCCAAAGCAAAGTGTCCTGGGCTGTCCGTTTTGCGGATCCCCTGAGTGAAAAACTTGCGGCTGAAATTGCGACCCAACTGAAAACATCCAAAACACCAAGAAACCGGACATTTCGCTGGTTGACCCGCCAAGTGTCACTTTGCACCGCGTCATGGGCTGCAAAGGCCCCAGCGCCTTCTCGATTCTTCCCGCGTCGCCCGTGGCCATGCCGATGGCTCTCGCCACTTTGATCAGCCCCTGGTCGAAAGTCGCTTGGCGATCCCGGAGCTCATCGCATCTGACCACTGGGCACCTAGAAATCGCCAAGTTGCGATCGCTTTGTTCAGTCACGTTTGCGATCGGTTTTTGGGGTAAAGTGGATGGAAAAAGGCGAAAAAACAAGCAGCAACTGGCGATCGATGGCACAGCTGCTGGCCGCCCTGCTGCGCCAGAAGCGCGTCGAACTTCGCCGCGGCCCCGCAGAAGTCGGCGAAGTCGCTGTTGCCGAAGCCAAGGACGGCATAAGGCGTCCTGGCCAAGCTGAGCCCTTGCAGGAGCTGGTAGAAGCCGCAGGCCTCCGCGGGAATGTCGCCTTGACCGTAAGATGGGGTCAAAACCAGGAGCCCGTCGGCTCTCGCCAGCTGCTCCGTGAAAGCGGCAGGAGTGGAGCTGCTGATCGTCTCAGCATCCATCAGCTTTACCTCGGCTGCTTTCTGCTCCCGTGCTAAAGGCTGAACTTTGAGTGGTTTAGTGGAAAACCCATTCGTGGGCAAAAAGTTCAAGTCCAAACAGCCAAGCAGAATGCGCCAAAGCTGCCACGGCAAACCTGGAGAGGCCCACGCATGCCAGATCCGCAAACCTCTTCGTGGTGCCGTTGGCGGAGGCATACACCGCAAGCAAGTGCCTTCTCATCTTGCGCAGCTTGCGCCGGATCTTGCCGCAGATATACCTTGCGAGAGATGCGATTTGGGTCCCTGAGAACTGGAATGCCCTCCAAAAACCATCCATCCGATGTGGCTTCCTTTATTCCGGAAAACCCAGGTTCATCGGGAATGAGAAATGGAACGATCGACCTCTATAAACCATCTATCCGATTTGGTTTCCTTTATTCGGGAACCCCAAAGCAGTTCATTCACCCATTTGGCTTCCTTTAGAAGATTTCACCCCATCCATCTGGTGGTTTCCTTTAAGCAGGGCTGTGGGAAATGACCACTTCGATGCTACAACAGAAAGGGCTTCCCAAAGACCAAAAACCCCACAAAAAGGGGGTAGCTTCCCTTCTATCACAGAAGCGGGGGAGAAAAGAACTCCGAGTGATGCCACAGCCCTGCCTTTAAGGGAACCTCCATTTCACCGCCAACTAGGTCCTCCATTAGAGAAGTTAGAATTTGGGTACCCGGCTTTTTTCTGTAGTCTATTTTAGGGAACCCTCCCAACCAAAAAAGAAACGGTGAGAAAGTTGGCACCAAGGGCTGGGGGGACCTCACCAAGATACAAGGCGAAGAGGGCCGCGCCCAGCTGCTTCCTCGCCTTTGTGGGGGAAGGCTCCGGGAGCTCTCTGGCAAAAGAGCGCCAGCCGGGACCCGCGATGTACATGGGCTTCAGGGTGTACCTTAGAGGCCGCTCGGTGAGACACTCTTCCGATACTGGGCCCGTTTGGTGATGCATCTAAGCTATTTTGACTTTGAGTGGTGTGAAAAATGCCCCCCTGAACCAAGCAAAAAGATCTAAAGACCTAAGGATCCGGTTGGCTGGGACCCACCTCAAGTCTATCCGAAAACCCCACTTGCCTGTTCCACTGCAACTGCCATTCCTTCCTTAACCCCGCTTGACCGTTTTCCACCAGCACCTGCCCATTCCTTCCTTTGCGCGCGCACGCGTGCCCTCGTTTTCCCGAAAGCATGGCGAAGGGTTCTTCCGCTGGGTTCACTTGAGTTGTTCTCATGAGAGTCATTACAAGGTGTCATTGCAAGGAATCATCATCATGAAAGTCAATGCAAGGAGTCATTGCAAGGAGTCATTGCAAGGAGTCATTGCAAGGAGTCATTGCAAGGAGTCATTGCAAGGAGTCATTGCAAGGAGTCATTGCAAGGAGTCATTGCAAGGAGTCATTGCAAGGAGTCATTGCAAGGAGTCATTGCAAGGAGTCATTGCAAGGAGTCATTGCAAGGAGTCAGTCATTGCAAGGAGTCATTGCAAGGAGTCATTGCAAGGAGTCATTGCAAGGAGTCATTGCAAGGAGTCATTGCAAGGAGTCAGTCATTGCAAGGAGTCATTGCAAGGAGTCATTGCAAGGAGTCATTGCAAGGAGTCATTGCAAGGAGTCATTGCAAGGAGTCATTGCAAGGAGTCATTGCAAGGAGTCATTGCAAGGAGTCATGAGAGTCATTGCGAGCTGCGCATGGAGTCAAGTGCAAGTTGCAAGTGCAAGGAGTCAAGTGCAAGTGCAAGTTCAGCAAGTGCAAGTGCATGGAGTCAAGTGCAAGTTGCAAGTGCAAGGAGTCTAGTGCAAGTTGCAAGTGCAAGGAGTCAAGTGCAATTGACTTGCGAGGAGTTAAAATCTCTTCTTAGGGCGGCGGGGTAGTGCCGACGACACTACACGAAAATCGACCCTCTGCGGGGATCGGCGTGGTCGAGGTGCAAAAACCCATGGTTTTTTGCGATTTCTAACCTGCTCGCGCGACCCTCTGCGGGGATCGGCGTGGTCGAGGTGCAAAAACCCAGGTTTTTTGCGATTTTAACCTGCTCGCGCGACCCTCTGCGGGGATCGGCGTGGTCGAGGTGCAAAAACTCGAGGTTTTTTGCGATTTCTGCGGTGCTCGCGCGACCCTCTGCGGGGATCGGCGTGGTCAGGTGCAAAAACTCGAGGTTTTTTACGACCCTTTCTAAAGTTCCGCGCGACCCTCTGCGGGGATCGGCGTGGTCGAGGTGCAAAAACTCGAGGTTTTTTACGATTTCTAAAGTTCCCGCGCGAGTTGCTCTGCGTAAGTTGCTCTGCGCAAGTTGCTCTAGGCAAGGCGCTCTGCGCAAACTGGTCGGTGCAAGTTGGTCTGCGCAAGTTGCACAGATGCGCAAGTTGCTCTGTGCAACTTGCTCTGCGCAAGTTGCTCTGCGCAAGTTGCTTTAAAATGCAAGTTGCATCTTGCGACGCCCGCCCGCGGACCAGGGAGGAATCGAACCCGCGACCCGCCGGTTCCGGGAGCAGGCGCGCGAACCACGAGACAACTCCCGAGGACCAGTTCGAACAACAAAAGTCGCAAAAAACCTTGAGTTTTTGCACCTCTGACGGCACAGAGCAACTTGCACAGAGCAGCTTGCACAGAGCAACTTGCAGGGAGCGCACTTGAGCAGGGCCAACTTGCAACTTGCCGGCAACTTGCGCAGAGCAACTTGCACAGTGCAACTTGCGTAGAGCAACCAAGACAACTTGACCCAGTTTGCGCAGAGCACCTTGCCTGGCGCTGTCTCGCGCTTGCTTCACAAATGCTTCGTGGAGGGAAAAAGAACGCATCCTGCAGCGTTGGGCCGACCTCGCTTGCGATGCTATGCTTTCGGGCCAACCGTGGTCTAGTTTGTTCCCCCCCTGCCAGCTGAGGCTCTCCTTCATCTTGCTCAAGCCCGTGTAGGCCTTCACAGAGCTGGCCGCCAAGGGCGGGATGATCCACTTCCAGTTGCCGGGGCACCAGCCGCGGAGCCTCAGCTCCTCGCGGTACCAGTGCCAGAAGGCCTCCAGCATGGTGTGGTGATCCACCATGCACAAGGCTGGCGTGCCTCAGCCGCGACTCGACTCGGGCCAAGTCACTTCCAACGAAAATCCGCCTGGCCTCCCATCTTTGGCCGAAATGGAAGTCCTCTGGAAAGAATGTGTTTCAAGCAGTGATAGATTCCTTTGATGCCAACAAAAAAGAAACACATATTCTTCGGTAAAGGAAAGGGCATCCAATGTAAACAAGGAGAATTACACCAGCATAGACCCCAGATAGCAATGATTGCACACCAGCACCTCCAACAGCACCCCCCGAAGAGCGTCCCAAACAGCACCCGGCCGTCAATCGAGCACCCGCGCCATCACTAGCACCTCCAACAGCACCCCAAACAGCATCCCAAAACAGCACCTGCACCAGCACCCCAAACTGCATGCCCCCTGCACCCTGCCGTCAATCTCGCAAAAATGCGCCTGCACCGTCACCCTAAGAGCACCCCAAACAGCACCCCCCCAAACACCCAGCCGCACCCCAAACAGCATCCCAAAACGCCACCTGCACCAGCACCCCAAGCTGCATGCCCCCTTGCACCCTACCGTCAAGATGCAAAAATGTGCCTGCACCGTCACCTGCATGCCCGATAGCACCCGGGCGTCGATATCGCAAATTGCGCCCGCACCGTCACCAGCACCTCAAACAGCTCTCCAATCAGCATCCCAAAACACCACCAGCACCAGCACCCCAAACTGCAGCCCCCGTGCACCCTACCGTCAAGATGCAAAAAAGCACCAGCACCGTCACCCTAAGAGCACCCCAAACAGCACCCCCCCAAACACCCAGCCGCACCCCAAACAGCATCCCAAAACGCCACCTGCACCAGCACCCCCAAACTGCATGCCCCCTAGCACCCTACCGTCAATCTTGAAAAGATGCGCCCGCACTGCCATCAGCACCTCAAACAGCACCCCAATCCGCAAAAAACCAGCACCCCAAAACTGCACGCCCCTTAGCACCAGCCCATCAATCTCGCAAATCACTTCCCCCTCTTTATCAGAAGTTAGAACCCCTATAGCTTTCAGCTATCTGGGAACAACTGGCCACTTGGGTATGGGTCAAAATGAAACCACCAGGGCACCGATGTTAGCTCTTGACCCATTTACCAGGGCAACCTATCTTGGGCACCTGGAGCCTCGAACTACTCCTTAAAAAGCAGAAGAGGAACTCACCCAATATGTTTGGGGCGACAATCACTGGCAGCTTGGGATTTTGGGTTGGTTCGAGCCCAGGAACCCATTTAAGACAACAGCCACTTCGGTAGAACTTCCTTGAGGCCCAGCCACGAAAAGCTGTGCATCACTGCCTTGTCCAGAACGACCAGAGCCTCGTCCTTCCACAAAGTGCTGTCGTGCTCCATCTGCAGGCCCATCGCTTTTGCAATGTCTGGGAGGCGATTATAACCTGCCATCTGCCATACCGCCCCTAAAAGGGAGAAAAAAGGTGTCCAGTACGATCCCGGGAGAAAACCAAGCAGAGAATCATAAAAACGATTGACCTATGTGCTAAAGTCGCTCGGCAAAAAACAAACAAGTCCAATGCTAGATCCCTTAAAACCAAGCAGAGAGTCATGACAACGATGATAAAGCACAAAATAGTCCTCTCATGTCCCCTCAAAACCAGGAGAGAATCATTCAAACGGACTCTCAGGCTTAAAACTTTCCAGGAAACGGTTGGCGTCAGAGAGGTTCCGGACCACCTCGGTGTCCGCGAACCAGCCATTGAAGGGAATCGCTGAGTAGGTCAGGCCGCCCAGCTCCAGGACGATGTTGCTCACTGCCGGAACTCCGCACCACTTCCTCCGCTTGGGAACGAACCGGTTTTTGGGGATTCCCTTTGGTCCGGATATTTTGGGCCCTCAAAGCGGGCTGTCTTTGAGGGCCCTGGAGGAATGGGTCTGGTTCTCCATTGGAAGACCCAGGGGTGTGCATTGGGTCCCGGAGTCATGACCCTTCGGGTACGAACATCGCCCAGGTCACATTTTTTCGTCACCGCTCTCGGTTGCCCCGGAAGAGGACCCAGAAAAGGAGAAAGGGGTGATGACCTTTTGGGTTTTATGACCGAAAAGTGGGAACCCAAGACTTGAAAAGCGAAAAGGTGAGGAAGGAGAAGAAGAAAACAACAAAACGTCGCTTTCCAAACTGGGCTTCATCTGTAGGTCGCCCAGAAAGGGGTAGTCAGGATGCCAGATCTCCACCATGGAGCAGGCGGACTCGGGGATGTGAAAGCAGGCCGGCGCCTCGCCGGCGGCCTGCAGCACCAGAGGCAGCACCTGGATCGCCGGTGGCGCTCGTTGTTTTTTCCATGCACTCAAAACCCCCCAAAAAACGATCGCAAACAGTGACTGAGAAAGAACAAAAACGGTCGCAACTTGGCTATCTAGGTGGTTATTTAGTGGCTGCCTTTTTCAGGTTAACTGAGGGTAGTGGGGATAGCAGAAACCGTCTTCCGATTTCAGAGCCCATTTGGCTATCTAGGCACTTGGAAGTGACCTTTGCTTGGCGGCTTCCAGCCGAAGTGGGTCTGAACCATGGTGGTAAAGTCCAGGTTGGCCGGATCACCCACAATCTCACCTGGCTGTGGGTCAAAAATATGTACCCAACATGGGTTGCCCTGGTAAATGGAGCCAAAAACCTTCTTCACCTGCGGTCCCATCCCTGGTGGTTCAATTTTGCCCCTTTTCCACCCCGTCCCAACCCCACCCCTCCCTCCCAACCCCCCTCCCACCCCCCCACCTGACTCCTGAAACCCTGCGAACCTGATCAGCTGGTCGCTCCAGACGCGCGGCCCACAGCCGGTGACAGGATGCTGCGCCGGGAAGACGCTGACGTAGGCCCGGCCGGCGCCGTCCCTGGCCGTGCGGGTCAGGTGCTCCAGGCAGGCCTCAAACCTAGGCTGGAAAAAAGTCGGACCCCGGCAAAAAAGTGCTATCTTTTTTGCCTGGTGAGTGGAAAACAAAGAAAAACCCAAAAAAGCCCCCCCCAAGAAAAACCCAACCCCCAAAAAAAAAAAAAAGGAGCTAATTCTGCGAAAGCAACATGCCTTGGTTGGTGGTGACGGACCGCCGGTCCAGCACTTCCAGGGTGTTCCAGAACTTCCGGTTGGCGCACTTGGGCGCGTTGCGCCAGCCAACGCGCACACCCACCTGAGTCACAGTCAGAACCCGGTTGTAAAATACGAAATAAGAAGGCATCCGCAGCTATTTATGGCAAGGTTACTCTCCTTCATCAATCCCCGGGTGCCCACCTGCAGCTCCTGGGAGGTATGGGTGTAGGTGCCGGTGCTTGCCACCTCCGCCTCGATCTCTGCCATGCGCAGTTCCAGCTGCCCAGCCGGGCTGCCCTGCTCCCGGTGGAAGAGCTCCTGGAAATTTCGGTGGGGCGACCCATTGGTTGAAAAACATGTGAAAAAAAACACCGGTTGTGAGGACGATTTCTGGTGAAGATGGTGTTTAAACCATATTTCTACCCATTGGTTGAAAAACATGTTGAAAAAACCACCGGTGACAACGATTTCTGGTGAAGGTGTCGCTTTTTTTCGGTCACTGTTGCGATCGTGTTTTTTGTTCTTCTTCTCGGGTAAGTGGATGGGAAAAGCAATCGCAACTGGCGATCCGGGTGGCGTTTCAACCATATTTTGCCCCACTCTGCCTGGAACTCCTTGGCTTCTCTCAGCAGCCGCGCCAGAGGCGTCTCGTCTCCGTGAGGCTTCATAGAGGGCTGGCAGCCGTGCTTGCACATGGCCGGCCTGCGCCCGTGCACGTAGCCCGGGTACGGATTCGCCCAGACCGTGCCGTGCTTCAGCGGGCAGCCAGCCCCATTCGACGCGCACGAGCCTGTGACAGGGCAAGTCTGTGGAGCGACTCTGGGGCTGCGCGCGCTGCTCCAGGCTGGGCTGCTGGGGCTGCTGGGACTGCTGGGGCAGCTAGGGTTGGGGCTGTCTGGACATTGCGTCTCCCCTGTGTTGAATCTACTGGGCGCTGGTTTCGATCGCACCGAGTCGTCCGCATTCTTGCGCTTCCGTCGGACCACCTTGTACTCGGATCTCACTCCCGAGTCGTCCAGAGCAATCTTCCGCGTCCCGAAATGAGCGAGCACCTTCTTACCCCAAGCTGCAAGTCCATCTATGCACAAAACCATGGCTTGAGCTTCAAAACATGCTGCAAATGAGGCCGTAATTCAGAGAGGGAAAAAGCCCTTCTCAAGTTGAATCCTTCGATCGTGAACAGATGTGATCTGGCTTGGCCCTGGAGTCGTAATTTCTCCAGACTGCCCCGAAAAACTCTGGTGGCTCGAAAGGATGAAAAGAGCACCTGTGCCCATCGAAACATTCTTGGCATCCCCCCTTGGCTTCAACAGGATTGACCCCGTTGTCTCAGTTGATCCCCCGTCTTTCTGTGGGTGGGATGGGGTATAAACATGTGTCCCTCCAAAAGCAGAAAAAAGCTTTGACGCTGTGACACATTTTTGGGGACACCCCCCCGTCGAAATCAAGCCGCTTGGAGAAACGGGGCTCAAGACCTCAAGCCAGGACGAAAGAGGCCTTGTCGAGGTCTGAGGCTCCCTTGATGTCTCCGGGGTTGAGAAAATGGGCTTAATGTTGACCCCGGATTAATATACCCCTATTTATTAATATGGGGGTGTTCCCCTCCAAAAGTAACAAATCCCCACTATAACCATGGACACCCCCATATAAATAAACAGGGGTTTATTGATCCGGGGTCAAGATTACAAGAGAGTCTTAGGAGGCAAACCCAAGTAGGTCTCTCCTTTCATGTCCCCCTGCCAAAACACGCTCTCAAGTCAGAGTCTTCATGTAACGTGGATGGACCCCGAGGCCACAAGGGCGCAGGGCCTCTGGGCGCCTTCGGAGCCTTTGAAACCCCGGCGAAACGGAAAAACAAACACGCCCTCCCAGAAACCGAGGTGGGGAGGAGGGGGGGGGAGGCGGGGATGTTGGGGGGCCGGGCCGGCCGCGCCGCCTTGCCTCGTCTGAAGAAGAAAAGGGAGTTTTACACGAAAAGTCGACGTAAGTACCAACAAACGTTATGGCTTCAACCACGTCTTCACACTGGCGCGAACGGATTTGTCCACCCACAGTATGGATTTACGGCGAATTCTGGCCATTGGGGCAACGGGACTGGCTGGAAGGAAGGAGAAACACCCCTCAGAAGCGCCCAGAGCAGGGAACGCTGAAATACGTCCAGAGAGCCAAAGGATGGATGGGGTTGATCAATCCTGCAAGGCCCGCAGCATGGGTAACTTCTCCCATGTGAAAGTCAGTTTTTTGTTGAGCTTCCCGAATGGTCACCTGTAGAGGACCTGTTCAACCCCCCATGTCTCACAATTCCTTCCTGAGAATGCGAGCCTTTCCCTTGCTCACTTCCTGAGTGGATTGGCCAAAGAAATGCCCTTCCCCATTGTTTCCCGGGATCCTTCTTTTCAGGAAACCATCAAAAACGGGTTTTTGAAAAGAACGATGGTTGAAAAGAATGGGGAATCAGGCCCTAGAACATTTGTATTTACCACCACGATGGTCTCCACCAAAAAGTTTAGGCACTCAGGGGAGTGAGCTAGTTCCACCACCACCGCACCATCCTTCATTGGACTTCCCAATTGCAAAATCTCGTGGAGCCTCAGAGGCTGCGGCGAAGATTTTCCATATGTCCAGTAGTGATAGCTTCCCCAAAAAACCCAGCACTGCCCATGTAACAGAAGCCCAGGTAGTGAATAGATTCCCTTCAAAAGCCACCGGTGGATGCTTTTTTTCTTGTGAGCCCAGGTGGCATCCCCAACAGAACCAGACCGATTCCTGGAACCAGACCCCAGGCCCGGCGACTCCAAGCCTTCAGCGTCTTATCTGTGCCCCGGTTCAGATCCCCTGCTTAAAGGTGTTAACTTTCAGTGGGTTCCACAAAAACTACCCCTAAACCACCTAAACGCACCCAAAAAGCTAAGGAACATAGGTGTCCTTTTAGGCTGGAAATAGATGGATATCCCTGGTGGATGATTAAACCCCCAGGTAAACCGATCGGAGTCGCCCTCGATTTCTCTACCAAAAGTCGCCACCTAATGCTAAGCCGCACGGCCGGGAGCTGGCTCAACGGTCGCAGGCCGCCTCTCGGAAGCCGCCCAAGGGGAGGGACCCTCTCGGCCTCAAGGCGACCCGAAAACCCCACGAGCCGCAACGGCTACCTAGGTCCTCGAGAGAGGCTAGAAGAAGTTGGTACCCACTGTTTTCTGTAGTGAACCCCTCCCCAAAAAAAGGTGGTAGAAGGGCACTACTGGGGGACCTAGTTACGAAACCAGCGACTAAGTGTCCAGAGGAGCTCAAATGGCCATGGGGCATAACCTGTGGCGAGCCATTTTGGAGTGGATGAGCATCCGTTTGCCACCTATTTTTGATGTTCACCAGGGGTACAGGGTTTTGAGCCGCAGCCATCTCCGTTTCCTTCGGGGACAAATCGCCGGCGATGGGTCAAAACCCTGGTACCCGATTCCCCTCCCCCCGGATTCCCTATGGACCAAACAAAAGGAGGTTACCCAAAAACCGGAGGTGCTCTGGATTTTGATCCCCACGTGGACGTGGGACACCCCCACTAAACCAACTAAAGACAACCATTAAAAGAAAAGTCAAGGGAACTGCCCCCCCCAATAAACCAACCAAAGTCAACTATTCAAAAACATCCCCAGAGAACCGGGGACCAGCCTTTTAAAGAACCGCCAAGTGGTTTGCGCCCTTTTCCGCCGGAAGGCTAGACTCACAGCAGGTCCAATCGAGCTTCAGCCTCGCCCATGTCGCCGCCGTTCCTGAAAAAAAAAAAAAAACGCGGGATCCGCGGATCAAACTGACCCGTCCCCACACCAAACGGAAACCCAAAGGTTCCTTGCCCCCGTTCAAAGAATGGCCTTGGGACCCCACTTCGATGAAGACAAGCATTAGGTAAACGTTTTGGTGGTTGTATTAACCCCCATTGTTTCGATGGTGGTTTGAACCCCAGAGGAGAAAATTATGGTAGCAGACAAAACCTTTTTGGGCCCCCGCCAAAAATGAACAGAACCAAAAGACAAAGAAACTAAAACAAACCACCAAAAAAGAACAGAACCAAAAGACAAAGAGACCAAAACAATTAAAAAAAAAAAAGTGCTGCAAAGACAAGTGAAGCACCCATCGCAAGACCCAAGCCCGAAGCTCGCTCCAAACCCGCAGAAAGCGGCAACAACTAACTCAAAACCAACCCGAATCCTCGTTTGGAGTTTGAATGGGATCCACTAGATACAAATGGCCATGGGTCACAATCCAAATCGTAGCCCCAGTGAACATCCCACTCCCCACTAAAATAGACTAAAATGGGTGGTGCAACTACCCCCAGCCAAATGACTTCCACTGCCAGCTGAGAAACTGTGGATCACCCCAGGTCACCACAAAGCCATCGTCCCGAATGGCAGCAAAAGCACCTTCGCGTACTGCTTGGATCTGCTGCACCCTTACGAGCTGCTCTTGCACCTGCAGGTCAAAACGTCCAAGTCTCAAGCCTTGTTCCCTGAGCGCCTGAGCGCTGGATTTCGCTACAGGTCCGCCAGCCCAAAGTCCGAGACATCTCCGCCAGGTACACATACCCCCCAAAAAGAAATGCCCTCATTTCTCACAGCCCTATATTTCCTCGAAAGAGAAGAAAAAAAAAAAAAAAACGGTGAAAGAACCACACAAAAAAAAACAACGTCGCCCCAAGGGATGATGTTAACCAGCAGAAAGGGAACAGAGCTCGGGACCTGTTTCCATTTCTAGAGGAGCTTCCTTTTTGGGAGCCCACACCACCCACCCCCTGCCCCACCCCCACCCCACCCCACTTGTCCGGCCTGGCCAGCGTCGCCCCCATACTTTGGATGGCCCCAGGCCACCACAGTGCCATCCTCCTTCAAGGCGGCGAAGGCTCGCGCAGTTGCTTGGATCTCGTTCACCTGGCCCAACTTCTGGGGGGATTTGGAGGGGGGGGGAAGGAGTAAGGAGGGGGGGAAAGGGGAAAAGGGGAGGGGGGAGCAGTGCTCAAGTCATTTGACCTGAAAGTGGTTAATCAAGGCTGTGGCTGTAGGGGGACATCTTCAAAGAAAGCATGTCCCTCGCAAAGGACTCCTCAAACTCACAGGTCAAATGCTGTCTGCAGTATAAACTTGACCTGAAAGGGGCGGATTGGCTAGGGGGAGATCCCCAAAGTCAGCCGAAAGCATTTACGTTTAGCTTTGAAAGCAGGTTGGCATCCCACATCGCCTGCTTCAACTGCCCTTGCACCTGGCTACTGTCACCCCCATAGTGCGCAGGGCCCCAACTCACCACGGAGCCGTCGTCTTTGACGGCCGCGAAGGCCCCGGCGCTTGCTTGGATCTGCTGGACCAGCCTCGGGGTCACCGAAAGCCTTGATCACGTGGGGCCTTTTGGGGTTCCCTTGGGGTTCAGTTGCACAGGGATCCTTACATTATACACCTGAACATTGCCTTGTAAATGGTCCCTTTATTTTGGTGTTGAAAAAGCCATGTTTCAAATGGTTGTAACATGGAGATCTTTTAAGGAGCCCTGTTGCAGTTGCACCCTTAAAACAAAGGCTGGGTTCACGTTTCACCGCCAAAACCCTTGCCCTGCATGGTCATCCAACTTGAATTGGTCCCCGTTGCCATTCTTTTGATGGCCTCGGGAACCCCAGGGAGTTCTTTCCGCAAGCTCCAGTAGAGAGGACAGAACACGGGCACCCGATTTTTCTTCTGTGGTCTATTTTAGTAGGGGAACCCTCCCGGAATAAGAAAAAAAATTAAAAAAAAAAAAAAAAAAAAAAAAAAAAAAAAAAAAAAAAAAAAAAAAAAAAAAAAAAAAAAAAAAAAAAAAAAAAAAAACGGGAAAAGGACACCTAGCTGGGGGATCTAGTCCGTGCAGAAAATTTAACTTCGTCTCCCACCTGCCTGAGCTGCGCTTGGACTTCGATGCTCTCGCCGCCGGAGCTGGGAGCGCCCCAAGTCACCACGCAGCCATCGACCTCGGGCTTGACTTCAAGTGGCACCCCGAGGTGCACCTGGGGAAATGAAGCCAAAGACTAAAACCCTCGTAGCCCCGGCTGCTTCATTTTGACCCAAAGCCATGTCTGTGGCGTTTTGGGCAGCCAAAGGAAAACCGCCTCATTGGCTGTCTTATGGAAAAGCAATGGCATACCCAGCTTGTGGAAGCCTGGCAAGCAACCGCAAGGTAGGTGGCTCGGCACACCCGAAATGAGTCACTCGATGTACTCTTCGTTTCCACAAGAAACAAAAACACACAGCCCCTTCATGAAGTAAGCTGTTGGGAACCTGGGTCGTTTGTCAGCCTCCTTGTACAAGTGGGGCTAACCTCAGTGTGACATTAACTTGGCTGCTGTTGACCCATCTGCAACAAGTGAATACTTGTTGTGGGTCCAATACGGAGTCCACTCTATGTCAACCAAAAAGTTAAGGTCTAAAGATCCAACCCAATAGCAATCAAGGTGTGGGTTGCTATAACCCATGCTTAAGGGGAATTCGAGGGTTCAGGGCGCCCCACATCCATTTGCTTAGGCCCCTGAAAAAAAAACACAACAAGACACTGTGGATGGACGAAATCCATTCGAAATCCACTTTGAGACGATGAAAAGCCAGAACGCTTCTTGGTATTTCCAGGGGAATCGAATCATTCCGTTGGGTCTCTTCGGTGCGAAATGGATCTCGCAACCATCCACAGTATGTCCAGTACTGAATTCCTGACAGGCAAGTGTCCCGAAGGGCCGCAAAGGCACGGTCGGTGGCGTAAGAATCTCCTGGATCTGCGTCAGTTGATGGTCCTGGGCGTGTCATTTTGGGGCTCCCCCTTTTCTTGCTGGTGCTCAGCAGGGAATGAGGGAATGAACCGTTTTGGGATTCTCTTAAAGGAAGCCACAATCCCTCGCCAGCAATTTTTGGGTGAGTTTTAAGGGGAAACCAAGAGGAACATCTATATTTGGGCCGTGTCTTTTTTGTTGAGGGTATCCATTTAAGGAAACCAAAGGGAAAACCCCAATACATGTTTTTCTTTGGGGGGGTCCCCGAAAAAAGGACCTACTCTGCTTTGGGGTGCCCTTTCTTGATACTTTCCCGCCTCGCTGCTGTCCCCGCCTTGGAGTCTGTCGCCCCAAGTCACCACTTTGCCATCCTCAAGAAGGGCGGCAAAAGCGTGCAAGGTCGCTTGAATCTGCTGGACCCGTGCTAACTGCGCTTGCACCCGGCTGCTGTCGCCGCCATAGTCTCTATCACCCCAAGTCACCACCGTGCCATCTCTACGAATGGCAGCAAAACCACCTTCGCGCGACGCACGGATTTGCTTCACTTGTTGCAGTTGTTCTTGCATCTGGCTGATGTCACAGACATAGTCTGGATCGCCCCAAGACACATCGGAGCCATCATCCCGAATGGCAGCAAACGCACCCGCGTTTGCTTGGATGTGCGTAACGCGCGTCAACTGTTCTTGCACTCGGCTGCTGCCACCACCCAAAGTTGCATAGCCCCAAGTTACGACAGAGCCGCCGTCCCGAATGGCAGCAAAAGCACCGCTGCTCGCTTGAATCTGCTGGACCCTGTTCAGCTGCTCTTGCACCTGGCTGCTATCACCCCCGAACTGTTCATCACCCCAAGTCACCACAGTGCCATCATGCCGGATGGCGGCAAAAGCATGCCTGGGTGGTGAGCAACAGTCTGAAAAAATATCGCCCATCCCCCGTTTGATCCCTTTTGGGGAAATGAGAAAATTAAGATTGCCATTGATCGCATGTAGACACTCGTTCGCTTGAATCTGGACCACCCGAGTCAGCTGGTCTTGCACCGTGCTCCCGTAGCCGCCATCCTTGGTGATTCGTTGATCGGGTATGTCGCGAAACAGGGATTCGGACCCCAAAATGGGGGTCCGCGTTCCTTGTGGTCTCCCCTTAAAAGCAACCGAAGATGCTTGGGCTCCCTCAAAGAAATGAACACAACCCATGTGTCACAACCAATGTGTCGCAACTCAAGCTCAAAACCTTAAAAAGAAAATAAGACAACATTAGTTTATATATATATATATATAAGAGACAAACAAAAAAAGTATCTGCGCCGTATGGCTGGGAAGCGCCAAGCAGCCACTGAGCTTCCCCAAATCACCACACCACCCCCAGCGACGCACAGAGCGAAGGCTCCTGAGCAAAGGAAGACCAGTCGCACGGCAAAAGAAAAAACCATGAGAAAGGCGCCAAGGGAGCGGGTTCCAAGAAGAGCCCCCTAAAATCACCAAGCTAGCCCTCCTGGGCGCGGGAGAGGTGTCCAGGTTTCCAAGAAGAGCCCCCTTTTCATTCATCAAGCTCACCTACCCCTCCTCTAACATGGCAGTGGGTAGGCACCTGGATGATTAAAAAACAAAAAAAACTTTTGAAGGGACCCTGGCAGTTGCCGTGTGGCCATGGGTCAAAATTCCGTGCCCCCAGTGAACATCCCAATCCCCCCTAAAATCCCGAGCAAAATGGGTGGTGAATTCGCCTAGCCCAAAATGGGATCCCAAAACGGTTTTGACAACCACAGCCATGTTAGTGGGAGGGTGTGTGTGTTCTCTCATTTTTTGAAGATCACAGCTCTCCTCGCGTCGCGGCGATCTGCACCGGCGGCACCACAGCGCAGATCGCCGCCCCCTCCTGCAGCCCGGCCTCGCTCAGAGTGGAGGACAAATCCTCCAGCGGCTGACCTCGAAGGAATGCTTCAAGCGCGAGCAGCGCCCGTTTCACCCGTGTAGAGGGCTTCTGCCTTCAAAAAAAAAACACTGAAAATGGCCCTGCCTGGATCGCCAGTTGCTGTTTTTTCCATGCACTTTACCCCCAAAACCGATCGCAACAGTGACTGAAAAACGCGATCGCAACTTGGCTATTCAGGTGGGTTGTAAGCCTTGGTGGTTTGGATGGTTTGGTGGTTCAGGGGAACCAGGGCTTCAAATCCAAATCCAAACCCCAATCCAAACCGCCGCGAAAGAGGGGTAGCCGACTTTCAAGTGACACGAGCAGCGCCCCTGGAAAAAAAGAAAACAAAAAACGTGCAACCAAGGGTCTTCAGGCTTCAAAAACCCGGAACGTGGCGGTTTTTTTTCCCGCCTTTAGAGGCCGAGCGGGAAACTGCAAGTTACTCATGGTGGCGAAACGCCACTATATCCACTGGGCGTTGACTGTTGGCTTAGTTGCAAAGGTTTATTGAAAAATACCCCAGCCCCGAAAGACGTAACCCCTCTGGTTGTCGCTTTTTCGCCCTCCCGGACATAGGTATCCTTTTAGGGGAAATGGATCCTGGTAGATGATTGTCGCCATCTATTTTTCTAGCAAAACAACCAAAAAGCACACCCTGGATCGTCAGTTGCTGTTTTTGTTTTTTGTTTTCATGCACTCAAACCCCCAAAAACCAGCGTTAGAGTGACTGAGAAGAGCGATCGCAACTTGGCTACCAGGAATCGCCAGCTATTTTTCTATGGCAAAACCACCAAAAAGGACACCTATGGGGGGTCAGCTTCTATCGACCCACCAAAAAGACGTGACCCAAAAAGCCCCCAAAGAGACGTGACCCACCTGGTCGCTTTTTCGCCCTCCCGGCCCCAGCATCCCCGGCCGCCTCCGAAGACGAGCCGCAGGCAGCGCCGCGACAGCCGGCGCTGCGCCTCTGCCTTCAGCTCCCCGACGCTCGACTCCGGCGACAGCGCGACGGAGCACCCCGCGCCGCTGGGCAGGAACACGTCCACGCGCATGGCGCGCGCGAATTGGAGGGAACAGGCGGGGCTTGGGGCTTGGGGGCTCTCCGTTAGCCAGGCCTCTGATAAGCTTCCATTTGGGTAAGACCCATGGAAAAAATAATATGTGTCCAGTAGTGAAAAATTCCTTACAAAACCAGCAAGGGAAAACAGAACATCTTCTTAAGCAAATGGAAGTAAGGGTCCTGGACCCTCAAACTACCCTGAAAAGAATGGGTGATGGCCCAGAAGTCTGAAGGAACTCGGTTTTTACCGGTAAGTTGAGGGTCCCATTGTGACCCATCTTCAGCTGCAAAAACATGTGACACCCGATGGGAAAGAACTTCACTCCCAGGTAGTGGCAAGACGCCTTGTTTTCGGCTTGATGCGGGGCCTTGCTTAAAGTAGGGGCGCTTGGCTGGTGGAAAGGTACTTCCAAATGACCTGGTAGAAACCTGAACCGAGTAACCCAAAGAAAAACGGGTTCGAAAAAGCTCACATGGTAGGCCACCATTGTAGGGGATAAGATACTCCACAAATCAACCTGGAACCCCTTCTCTGGGGGGCTCCCTCCAAAAATTGTGCTCTAGAAACGATTCGGGGTTCCCTGTTGATCTGGGAAATAAGCTACCAAAAGCCAGCGCTCTCGCTCGCGCGGCGCGAATGTTTGTCCGACAGGCTCCTCGCGTTCGCTCGCGACGAGCACGAGCGATTCCGCTCACAACTTGCGGCCCGGAGCGAGCCATGAGATCTTTTGGCTCGGGCACGAGCCCGAGAGATTCAAAAAACGACACTGGACCAGTACTTCCAGTTACCGTTATAGTAGGCGTGGGTTCGAAACCATGCAAAGAAAGCCACAGAGGCAAGAGGCCCTGGTTGCAACCACTATAGCGGCAACTGGTAGCGCTGGTTGAGTAGCCGCAGCCAATTGATTGGAGCTCTCTCGGCATCGTGAGTGGACCATCACGCCCCAGTTGATGAACAGCTCACGGCCTTTTTGGGGCTCACGGATCTTCAAACGTGTTGGACCAGGTATGAGTCTTGCTGGTGCATGAGACACAAACTGACAGAGGAATCCTGTCACAATGGCCTGAAGGGACCCTATGGCTTCCCTCTCCAACAGAGAGAGCATCGTGCCGTGCCGTGGGGCGGCTGGTCGCTCGCTTAAAAATGCCAAGATCGAGAGAGCCAAAGGCTGCGCTTGTTTACACTGGAAACTGATGAGGGGAAACTGCGCGCATCTCGTGCGGGGCAGGCGACTCAGAACGTGGCCAGTAGCCCTGGCTAGAACCCATTTAGAAAATGCCATGTGGGTTATAGGCAAGGATACTCACCACTCGCCTGAGGTACCCGCTCACCGCTAAAAAGCGCCACTGCATCTAAGCCGAATGTCTCATTGCATTCGGTCTGCACTGCGCCGGCCGGGCAAGGCCATGCGCCCAGAAGTTGCCTGCAGGGAACATGGGTGGCTCGTCTTTTTGGTTCGAGCCACGAAAAAGTGGCTTCGGTTGTCCTCTTGGTTTCCCTTTTAAACCCAAAGATGGTGCCCTCAAAAAAAAAAAACAGGGGGAACATGAGGTTCTCACCTATAACACGCATCCACAACCCTGTTGTTGCACCCTAAGGGCATGCTTTCAAGGCCTCTGGGATGGAGCAAGAAAGCTCATGACCCGTGTCGAGGTGGCAAAGTGACTGAACGGCCAAGTGAGTCCTAATCAAAACCGGGTATTAAAATGGTCTACCCAGAATCATGTAAAGAATTAAGAAGGCGACCGCAGCTATTTCTAGGTGGGATTGTCCCTTACTAACCTTCATCTACCCGGGTTTTGATTGTGGCTCAAGTGGGATTGTCTTAGTTGAGCGACGACTTGGGATTGAACGCTCTTGAAAGTCTTACTCCCCCTTGGCCAACTATCTTCTCGGCTGTACTCCCCCAACTGAACTGCTATGTTTTCCGTTTCGTGACCCTTGTTTCTCCCTTTCACCGGCAACCAAAAGGGTCCACTCCTTCCAAACACCTCTGTTTCTACTAACCCCAAACCGCTCAGGGAGAAGTCATCGTGTCCAAGACGTTTTTCCTGCGGGGGCTGGCCTTTCTGGTATATCAGATTCGGGTAAAGTGCCACAGGGGCGCTAACACGAGTCCGAATTGTTCTTGCCTGGTGTAGTTAGAGGTTGTGGGGGTCGATGAATATCCCGTTCGGCCCCCGGCTTTGACCATGAGTCACTTTTCCCGTGTAGTGAAAGTCGTATCTTTGGTGGTTTCCCTGATGGCACCCCGGGGAAAGCACTTTTTATCAACCCCCATGTACCCACAAGAACCAGGGGTTCAACTCCCATCTTGTCCAATCCAATCCACCCACAAACCAAGGGTGGCAAACTTAGAAACCTCCTGGAAACGACGTAACTTTCACCCAGAAGCCCCCGCCGGAGGGGAATCCATGTGCCCATCTCGCTCTGGAAGCCAATTTGAGGGAGCCGGAATCAGGTTGTTCAAAGCCACCGTGCAGGGCTCAGTTTGTGGAAACTATGAAAGGGAGAAACCATAGGGGGGGTCGGCTTTCTATTGAGGCTACCCTGTGTGGTCTTGCTTTTTTGGTTCGGAAAAACCAACAGGAAAACGGACCACTTTGCGGGGGTCGGTCCCCTAAAAAGGCAAAACGCCACACCCATAGAGAAACGGCCCATTTTCTAGGGTTCCCCTGCCCACTTTTTGCCAAAATCAAAAAGCCCCCCGGAACCCGGACTGCCTTCTCCTGCAAAACCAAAAAATAAAAGGCCGACCCCCGGTTTTTTGCACCCCTCCCAGGCCTCTCTTTTGAGGCATCTCAGGAGGGCCGGTAGTGCTGGATGATGGACAGCAGCAAGCCCGCCGTCATGGCCAGTCCCGGCAGCACAAACTCCCGGCCGTGCTCGTCCGTGACCGTCTCCTGGCCCTTCATCGACGCCTTCGGCGCCTCCAAAACACGGCGATCCGATGGGCGGCGTCCGGCGGGCAGTTTATAGGTTGCGTCCGGGCGTCCCTGGGGTTGACGCAAAAGGAAAAGGCCAACGAAGAAAAAAGTGGAAAACTACTGGCCTCATTTCTCCTACCGTCAAGGTCACTCAAGTGGTATTAAAGGAAAGGAAGCCGAGTTACTGACTTTGATAAGCCCCCAGAAACAGTCAAAATAGTGATCAGATAGAAATTTGGTGGTTTGGAGTGGTGAGGTTGGGGGGGCTCTCCGGTTTCATGGTCAAATCAAGCCAAGTAAGGCTTACCTGATCAAACCAGCGAAACAAAAAACACCGAACAGCTACCTCGGAAAAAAAAAAAAAAAAAAAAAAAAAAAAAAAAAAAAAAAAAACGGAAAGTGGGTGAAGAAAGTTACTGTTAACAAATGGCAGGCACTTGGGGGCTTCACAAACTTAAGGCTTGCTTGGAGTGGTGTTTAAAGGGAAACCAAAAGGAAATCAATATTGTTTGGTGTTTGGTATTGTTGGCAGCCGATGGGAAAACAACACAATTAATTCTAAACTGCGGTGGATGCCCTTTGTTGGGATTGATTTAAGGGACACCAGAGGAAAAGAACTCCCCTACCGAAGATTGGTAAGTAAGTAACAAGGCAGAGGTCCTGACCCCTGTTGGCATTTGGGCGGCCGGAACATCAGTTAGAAAGTCGATTCACTTTCCCTTAGGGTAATCATTCAAACCAGGCGGACATGAACCAACAACTCCCCCCCCCCTGAGAAGGCTTCGGCCGCCCGAGCCTTCACGTTTTTGGGCCCTCGCAGCTTGCCCACGCTGACTTTGCTGCCGGCGCTGCCGGCGTGGCTGCCGGCCTTGCGCTGGGCGAGGAGCTCCTGGACGGCCTCCGAACGGGACGCGCAGATTGCTTTTTTCCACGAAAGTCCGGGTATATGGAGTAGGGGCTACCCCAAAAAAATGGGCTGCAGCCCCAAACGTACGGTTGGTGAACTCCTTTTCCCCCAACAGCTTTGGCAGCTTTGGGGTCGATGAGCCCAGATCTCCGGCGGGCCTGAGGTAAGGTTCCACGAGGGTTCCACCAGGGTTCCACCAGGGTTCCACCGAGGGTTCTGCGAGGGTTCTGGGAGGGCTGCGGGGTGGTGCGAGCACTAAAAAGAGCACTGCATGCTGTTGGGGATATCACCTGAGCTTTCTTTTCTTTTGGGGGGGGAGGGGTGGGGGGCTGGGTTCAAGAAAAGCCCGAAGTGGAAAGAATGCCTCCAAGTTGTTTGTGGGTCAATTGTGGGATAGGCCTCGAGTTTTGCGAAACAGGTCGAGATCCTAAAAATTTTGGTTGGCTTGAAGGAAAGCCCCTGGAGAAACGTCAACTTGTTGTTGGTGCCAACCAGTTCTGAGCAACTAATTGATTGAGGGGGTCCAAGTTGCTGCTGGCTCGAGGGTTCCCTCAAATGACAAAAAGGAGAATTCTGACTGGGAGCAGGGGGCCAAGGATTCTTTTTCCAGTGTGCTTCGTGTGCTTCGTTGAGGCGGCGGATCGGGGTCTTGAAAGGGAAACGTGGTGTTGAAATCCAAAGCAGGCCACCCATTGGCTCCACATCCCTTTGACACGTGAATCGAGCAAGAAGCTGAGACAAACCTTGTGAGGGCTTTTTTTGGCCGCGGTCGAAAAGGCGAAACATGGGCGGCAAATGGCTCTTTGACCAAGTGAGGGAGAAAAAAAACAGATAGAGGGGTGCTTCATTCGTCCTACTTTCATGAAACGGTCTCAAATGCTCAAAGAAACGTCTCTTTGGAATGGGACAAGATAAACTCCCAGTGCCCCCTGCAAAAGCTCAGTCCCCGAATTCTCGAAACAGTGCAGATTTGAAATTCCATTTGGAACCCGAAATGATGGACACCATTTGAGGGATTTATGTCCACCAACCACTCTCAAGCGGGTTCACTGAAATTCATGGCTAGATCCTTCCGTGATCGCA